CAAATATAAAATAACTATCTTATACTTTTAAACCATATTAAATGTATTAAAACATAGAAAATAAAGCGACTGTGTATGATCTAGATGGAAATTTATGCTTTGAAGGAGTTTTAGATTATTTAAAAAGACCTATAGATTTATGTAAAATAAAAATATTTTAAGACTATTTCTTTGAAGGGTTTTTCTAATCTGGTTATTAATTTGGAAAAGGAAAAGTTATAAAAAAAGATGATATTATTATTAATGGATAATTTTATAAATTCATTTCTACTGATTGGATGGTTTAAACACATGTTTTATAAGAAATTATTATTATGTAAATAAAATGTATAAATATAAATAAATTAATAAAAAAAAAAAAATATATTTTTATTTTATTTTTTTATAAAAAATAATATAAATAGAAAACTAATAAATATATTATATAATTATAATAAAAAAGTAAAATAAATATAAAGAAATTAATATATAAATAAATAAAATAAATATAAAAAATATAAATAAATAAATATATAAAAATAAATTTATATAAATATATATATATATATATTTTATAGATTTTTTTATATTATAATTTTTATTTTCATTATATATTTTATTATATATATTTTATTTATTTAATATATATATAAAAGGAATCTGTTTAAAATTGTAAAAAATGTTTAAGAAAATATTAAAAAAAATGAATATTTTGTATTAGGTAATTATTAGTTTTCAGTATTTAAATTAAATGATAAATTCAAAATTAATAAAGAACTTTTTGTTAGGATTTTTAAAATTATAAAAATTATAAATTTTATAAATATAAATAATTTATCATTTTTGGATTTTGATTGTTTATAAGAATATTTAAAAAGTTTAAAAATTTTAATTATTTCAATCGATGATGAAAAAAACGGTGATTTTTTGTCCTAATATTTATAAAATAGCGAAATTTCTTAATCTTTGGAAATTTTAGATTTATCTAATTCTACTTGTTTAAATTTCTAAGATTATAAAATTTGTTAATTATTAAATATATAAAATTTAAATACGATAAAATTAAATAATTGTAATGCTTATGTTTATTAGTTTATAAGTAATTTTATGTTCATGTCGTTTTTTAAGTAAATAAAGCATCTTTATATCGAAAATTCCATTTTAGATGCAAGTATTTTCGATAAATTTTTCCTTTGTCAAAATTTAGATTAACTTGAAACTTTTTCTATATAAAATTCATTTAATTTAAATGATGTTTCTGTTTATACTCTATCTGAAAACATATAAAAATTAAAAGTAATTTTATTTTATATTTTTAAAGCAATACTAATATTTATTTATTTTCTCTAAAATAAAAAACAAAACAAAAAGAATTTGAAATTTATTAATCTCTCTGGATTACTTAAAAATGTATAAAACAAAAATTTATTTTCAGACTCTAATATATCAGCAATGAAAAGCCTTCTTTAATAAATATAATATTGTAAATTTATTGAAAACCTAGTATTAGATGATGCATATATAAATGACAATGCAATTGAAAGTTTATGTAAATACTAAATAAATAATTTAAAGAGAATATCTTTTCGAAAATCATCAAAAATAACCTCAAAGACAATACTATTATTAATATATTCACATAATTTTAAAAATCTTTCTTTTATTAACTTTAATAATTCCTAATCTATTACTTTACCTAAAAATATTCAAACTTCTGTCGAAATTTCAGTTTTCAACTGCTTAAGCATTAATAGCTAATAAATATATGTAAAAAATAAAATAAAAATATAAAAATAAACAAAAACAAATAAATTAAAAAAGGATTATTTAAAATATAATATTTATTGTAAATCTTTTCGTTTTGATGCAAAATATATCACATATGATTTAATAAATATTATAAATAAACATTAATCTCTTAAAAAACTTATTTTGAATATAAATGATATTTCTGATCACTAAAAAGTCATTATTTATCTAAGTTAAATTAATAAAGGGAAAGAAATATTAAATTATATAAAATTAAATGTCAATTTAATTAAATAATTTTATTAATAAATGATTGAGAATGCCCATAATATATAAAACTAGCAAATATTCATAAACAAGAAATAATTTAAGGAAGTTTATAAAAAAAATTCTGCTTTTTAAATATCTCCGATTTAATTTTTATTTTAATTTTAAGAGATTTCAAATGAGAAAAGTTTTTTCACTTTAAATAGAAATTAATTTTTAAGAGATTTCGAAATTTTTTCACAAAACAAAATTTTAACGAAAAATTTTACTGAATTAAATTTATCTTTTTTCCAAATATAGCACGAAGAAATTTAAATTTTGGCTTTTTCTTAAAACTTCTCAAATTTAAAAAAACTTTCATTAAAAAATGCTGATTTAAATTCTAACGATTTAATGATTTTGGGATAAAAAGCCCTTTTTTTGAATAACTTAGAATATATAGATCTTTCTAGTAATAATTTAACGGTTCTTTCTGCACTTCATTATTTAATTTACTCTAATAATTTAGTTTCTCTGAAGAATATTTACTTAGGAAATATTTAATTAAATGTTTTATTGTCTATTCTATTTAACTAATTTTAAATTTTAGTAATTTCTTTTGAGGATTATAATAAAAAAGAAGGAGTTTAATTATAAATTGAGAACATTTATTATTAATTGAAAAGTAATTTAAATATTTTTGTATAAAAAAAGAGAAAAAATACTGAGAAAATTCTTAAAATTTAATTTAATTCTTTTATTTCATTTAATTATAAAGGGTTATATATAATATATCAATATATTAATTAAAAAAATAAAATATAAGTTTAAATAAATATGAAGAAATATCTAATAATATTTTAAGACTATTAAAATATAAAAAAATAAAGGAAGAATAATTTATTGAAAACAAAAAGATAATAAAAGAAAAGAAAATGCTATTACAAAAAAATTTAAATATATGTATATTAGGACATTAAAAAAGTGGTAAAAAAAAATTTCTAGGGAACTTTTTAGGAATTGATTTGAAAAAAAATTCTTTAAAAAATTTAGGAATACAACATTTTTCTAAAGAATTAGAAATTAATAAAAAAAAATATATTGTTAATATTAAAATTCTAAAAGGAAACAATCTTTTTAGCTAATTAAGGTAAAGAACAATAAGAAGTATGGATGGAGTATTGCTAATATATAAAAATTAAATAAAAGAAAATATATAAGAACTTTTAAATATAATAGAAGAAGTGAAATTTATTAAATATTAGAAACCTGTATATTTATTATGTAATCAAGAAGTGAACTCTGAACATGAAAGTATAATTTTAGTTAAAAACTTACCTTAAGAAATAAATTTTTTTAACTACATTGAGGAAGATAGGTTAGGAATTTAAAGCATTTTTAATGATTTAATTTTAGATTGTAAGAAATCATTTAAATAAAAAAAAGTTTTTAATGAATAAATGCTCTTAGATTTAGGGATGGAATGTTAATAAATTTCTCTTTAAAATACTTTAATTAAAATTGATTTTTTAAAGTAAATAAAAAACAAATTTTATATTTTAACTTTTTTTTGTTTTTTTTTAGAATAAGAAATAATATAGAATAAGAGAGTGTTAAATAATTTTGTTTTAGTTTATGTAAAAGCTAATTTATTTTAAATTTATAAGTTCTTATTAAAAAGTATAAAAAATAAATATTTATTTACTTTTATTGTACAAAAAAATAAAAGTTGGATAAACGGTAGTTAATAATTTGAAGATTATATAAATAGTTTTTGTGAAGGAAATTTGAAACTAATAATAAAGAATTAAATTAAAAATATAAGAATATGAACCAAGATAAAAAAAAAAAAAACTAAAGAATTTTTAAAAAAACAAATACATAAATATATAATTTTATAATATAACCCTTTATATATTTTTAAACTATAAAAATAATAATACAATATATAGTTTTTTTTAAAAAAATAAAAATTAAAAAAAACAGAAAATTTTTATTGTTGTTTTTATTATTTTTATGATCAATCATCAAAATCACATTAATTTAAACTATAAAAAAGAACATTTAAATTACTACAAGCTTTACATTTATTATCATATTATATTTATTCCTTCTTTGTATATCCACAAACAGGTTAATTTATATTTGGGCATTATACACTATTTATATCATTCGGGTCACAAATAAAATACTTATGATTAAATTAAGAACATGTTCCTTAAAAATAAAATAAAGAATCTTCTTCTTTACAAGCAAAACATTTGTTTTCAAATTCTATTCTTTTTTAAATTTACTAGTTTTCACCTTTTTTATTAAACAAACAGTTTATTTTATATTTCCACATTTCACTTATTTTATCTTATTATGATTACATTTTAATATTTTTATTTAATATTAGAACGCTATTTCAAATATTAAAAGAATTACAAATAACTTAAACATAGTTATACTATTTTTTTAATAAATCCTTAATTTTTTATTTTTTTATAATTAATAATGTTTATTACTTTAACAAGTATTAATAAAGGAGATTTTTTTTTTTTTTATATGAATTTTGTATTTTTTAATTTTTTTTTGTATTATTTGTTTTATTATAATAAATAATAGAAAAAAAAATATGCGTTTAATCAAATAATTATATGTTTTTTTTTTTTTCATAAAGAAAAGGAGTTATTTTATAAACATATTATATTATTTTAAATTAAATGTCTTAAATATTATAAAAAATATTTATATAAGTTATTTTAAATTATTTATGTTTTTTCTATTTCATAAATTTATCAAAAATAAAATAAAATATTTACATTATTTAATTTTAATTTTAGATATGAAAAATTGTATTATTAATGCAATTTAGATAAAAATTTATTTATATTATTTTAAAAAAATAAGTAATCAAAAAAAGTATAGATTATTAATTAAAATTCCTATTTTAAGATTTTCTAATTTTGAAGCCTAAATTTTTTTTTTTTTTTAAAAATATTATTTTTGTATGTTATAATTAAATAATATAAACAAAAAATTAATCAATAATAGATAAAACCTGAAAAACCAAAGCAGTCGTTTTTAAATAATAAAATTTAACGCTAAAAAACTAAATTTTACGGATATTTCTTAATTTATAAATAAAGAAAAATTATAAACATAAAAATATTAATAAAGGCAAATGGCATAAAAAATTATTTATTAAAATATTAGTAATATTAATAAAATTATTTTAAAAATTTATTTTATATTAATAATAAAATAAAAATTATAATAATAATAATAATTAAATCATATTTTTATAATTTTTATAATTATAATATATTAGAAATTTAAAAAAAATCAAGAAAAATAACTAAAAATAATAATAATAATAAAAAAAAACTATTCCAAACAAAACTACAAAAAAAAAATATAATTATTAATTTTAAAAATATTTTTTATCAATTATTATTACTTTTATCATTTTTATCATTTTTATCTTTTTCATCATATTAACCATCAATGTATTTTATATCTTCCAATTTTTTTTCTTATCAGTGTTTTCTATATGGTCTAAGTCTAAAACATGCTCATTAAACTCATCTCCCATAATAATAAATTTACCCTTGAATAAAATAATATCACCTTCAGTAATTTAATTTAAAGTATCTTAATATTATTAATGTATTAAGTATTCTACTTTTAAAGCCAAATCAGGGCTTCCTATTGCAGAGTCAGAAGGTTCCATTTTCACTTTTATAAAATAGAATTGATTAGAATTCATAAATTTAGGAGGTTTGTTTAAAAATGACATAAAGACTCCTTGCCATTTAACAATATTTTATAAATAAACTTTGTTAAAATTGCTCTTTGCGCGAAGTTCATTACTTAAATAAACATCTTTTCCACAATTATTTACATATTCTTACCAGCTACTAGTTATAATATCTTTTTTAAATTTATTATTTGCCATTTTATTTTACAAATATTTTTTTTTTACTGTTTTAAGGTAAATTAGAAGCATTCTGTTCTATATTATTTAATCCAAATGCATATTATCTGTAAGTAAATATAATTATTAATAAAGTAAGAATTATATATGCATATTTCCTAGATAAAATTACTGCACATGAACCAAATCTGAAATTCAAAACCTTTTTGTTTTAATATAAAATAAAATATTTAAAAAAATAAATAAATAAATTACCTAATCACTTAAAGATGGTATACTAAATAAATTATGTTTTTATATTATTTGATCACAGTCATAACATCTTTTAGCTATCATTTATGTTGATTATATTATTATTGGAATTATGAAAATAGACCAAAACTAAAAAAAAAAAACTGCTGCTATTGATATTACATATGTTGGTATTGATGCTTCTTTTTAATATATTGATTCACTTCTTGACCCGCAATATGGACAACTTTTTATTTGCTATTGTATTTGTTGTTCTTACTCTTCTTCATTATCACTTTCTTCTACTTCATCTTTATATTTCATTTTTTTTTAAAAAAAAGTTATAATATATTATTTGCTTTAAGAAAATATCTTTTTTTTTTTATTGCTAAAATATGTATAAAGATTATAATTTTTTTTTTATTTTTTTTTTGAAGAAATAAAATAATATTTAATTTTATTATTAAAAATATATAATATAATGATTTTTTCACATATTAATGTAAAATAATAAAAACTTTATTATTTATTTTTAAAAAAGCAAATATAAATTTTTTAATTTATTCCATTTAAAAAAATAATAATATTTAAATTTAAAAAATTAATAAAAAAGCAAAAGAAAATAAAAAGCGAAAAAAAAAAAAAAAAAAATATTTTACGTTACAAAAAATAATAAAAAAAACAAACTATAACCTAAATAGAAAGAATAACAAAAAAATATATGAGTACTCCATCAATGAATATAATATCTCCACGTATATCATAAATATCACAATAAGAATAATACTAATATTAACATCTTTAATAACCACTAAGCGCTTCAAACTAATAATAATCATAATAAGTATCTTAAATATCATAATCAAATATGAAAAAAATGATTCCTTTAGATAGTCCTGAAATCCATAATACAAATGAATTATATACAATGGGAAATAATGTTGGATTATAAAATCGTTTAGATATAATAGAAGGTAATCTAAATAGAGTTTGTAATTAACATGATGCATTAATGCCTTTGTTAGGCTTATTAGAAACAGTGCCTAAAATTAATAGTATAGAGTAAAATATAAAGACTGTATAGAAAAAAAGTGTTGAATTTGATTCTAAATTAGAAAAATTAGAAGCATAGATAAATATTAGTAAAAATTAATAAACTTTTGTATAAATAGAGAGAAATTTCAAATCTACTTCTTAATCAGTAATTTATATTTTACTTATTTATTTTAAATAAATAAAAAATAGATTTCTTAAATAAAAACAGATTTAAAAGATATGTAATAAGCCCTTAATAATAATTAAAAAATCGCAGAAGTAAAAATAAAAGAAGATGCCTAGAATATATATAGAAATGTAGACGTTAAAATTGCCAAAAACAGAAAAGATATTCAAAATTTACTTGCAGAATTTAAAAACTAAATTTCATTATAATTAAAAAGAAACGAAGATATAGATTATGCATAAGTATAATACAAAACTGTCTAAAATGAAGATGTGAAGCGTTGTGTAAAAAAAAAATTGTTTTTAAAAATAAAAAAATATAAAAGCTTGATGGATATGTAGATGTTATTCATAAATAATATGAAGGAGATATGAGTAATTTATATAGAGAAATAGGAATGTTAAGGAGTGAATTAGAACTTTTACATGATAAAGCAAGAAGAGCTTAAATATATGAATAAATATCTCATTTTCCAAAATAAATAAATGAAAGTGAAAAAAAAATAGCCATCGCTAATTTAGAATAACATGTATTTTTTTCAGAAATAGAAAAATTCGATAAAGAAAATTAAGAAAGAATATTGTATGAAATAGATTGTTTGGAAGATAAAGTAATTTTATTAAAATAAAAATAAAAATAAAAATAAATAATATAGGTTTAATAAATTATACATATTATTAATAATAATGGAAAACAATAAACTGATTTTGATAGTGAAATCGCTTTTCTTGAAGATAGACTTTTTTCTATGAAAAATTAAATACATGGAACTAAAAAAAAATATCTTATTGATGTCAGAAAAATAGAAGATAGACTCGAAAAGCTAATTATTTTAAAAGAATAAACTATTTCTAATGGACTAACTTCACATTTTGTTTAATAGAATATTTAAGATATTGATTAATATCCTCATAGAATCGAATAATTAAATCATTCAATTAATTTAAATGTAGAATAATTGTAATCTAGATAAAAAGAAATTGATGAAAAATTAAATGCTCTTAAAGGTCTCAGATAATGAAATATAAGTATTTATAATGTTTTTTTTTTTTTGTTTATTTACTTTTATTTTTTTTTTGTTTAAAATTTTTCTTTAATTTTAATTTACTAATTTTTTTAACTATTATAATATATATATATATATATATTTTAATTTTGAAATTGTTTTAATAATTATTGAATGTAAAAAATATCTAACTTTCTTTGTTTTTTTTTTTTTTTTTTTCTATAATTATTTTGACAATTATATGATTTTATAAAGTAAATATTGACTTTAAGATTAAGAATAAAATTGGCTTATATAATTTAATACTATTAATAAAAAAAAGATATATTTAAGTAAATAAAGAAAGGCTAAAAGGTAAATATTTCTTTCAAAAAGTAAAGAAAATATTTAAAATAAAAAATAATTATATATATTTTATAAAATAATTGCAATAAAAAAACAAAAGCACTATTAATTTATATATATGTATAATTTTAATTAAAAAAAAAACATATTTTTAGAAAATATATATAAATAAAATGAAAACAACAAAAAAAGAAAAAAAAGTTAATTAATCTCCTCAAGACAAGCAAAAAAAAATTAAAAAAAGTTCTTTAAAAAAACATAAATCTCATAAAGCCGATTCACAGTAAACACCTCCTTAAAAAATAAAAAAAGCAGTTTAATTTAATTTAAACGAAAACAAACAATATGAAATAGAATCCAAAAATTTAAAAAGCATAAATTTACTTTAATAATCCCAATCAAGAAAATGGAATTAAAAAATATATACAGAAATACCAAAAACAGGTAAATTTACAGACGAAGAAGCCTAAATATTAAAGCAAGCATTATGTAAATATGCATATGAAAAAAATTTAGATGAAAAAAGTTTACTTAAACTAGTTTCTGCAGAAAAACCATAAAAAGAAACTCTAGGCGCATGGTCTTAAATAGCAGAATGTCTTCCTTATAGATCAGTATAAAGCTGTCATGATTTTTGCCGAAGAAGATTTAATCCTAATAACTATGGAGGAAATTGGAATGAGTGTGAAACTTAATAATTAATAAAGCTAGTAGAAATTCATGGTAGAAAATGGAAATTTATTGGTGAATAATTAGAAAGAACTGAATTAAATGTTAGAGATAAATATAAAGAAATAGGTATTTTTTTATAATAAAGACTTTTTAATTTATTATTAAATAACAATAACCAAAAAAAAAAAAAAAAAAAGGAGAAGATAATCATTCTTAAAGAAAAAAAGGTTTTTGGAAAATCTAAGAATTAGTTTTACTTTTGAAAAAAATATAGAAATTAAGTGGAATAAAAATATTAAAAAAAAGAAAAAAATTAAGAAATGAAATTGAAAAAAATGCAGAAAAGCTCAATGAAGAATCACTTAAATAATATAATAAAAATAAAAGAAAAAGAGATATTTTAGATTTGGATGCTAATACAACATTTTTATTAGCATTTATAAATTACCCTGGTGTTTAAGAACTTTAAAATTAAGGATCTATTTAATGGACGTAAATTGCTGAAAAATTATAAACTAAATCTAAAGATGATTGCAGGAATAAATGGGTTTAATTATAAAGATATATTTTCTTTTATGGAAAAAACTTCACTAGTGAAAGTGATGAAGATTTAGTTAGCCAGATAATAGAATAAGATGTAGAAAGCGAAGGAGAAATTGATTTCGATAAGATTTTTAATAATAAAAGTACTCAAGAAAATAAGGAAAGATGGAACATTATTAAAAAAAGAGGAGATTTTAAAAAAGAATTCCATAATGAGCTTTTATAAATAAAAAAATCTTTCGAAAAAAATCAACAAGATGGTGCAAGCTTATTAAAAAAAATAAAAACATAATAAAATGGTATTTAAAATGAATTAGTTGAATTTTTCAAAAATAATTATTTACAAAAATCTTGATTTGTTTTTGTTTTTTAAATCATGTTATTTTAGCTTTTTTTTAAACTTCTTTACTTACAAAACAATCAAAATTCTACCTATATTTTTTTTAATTTATTTTAAATAAAAATATGTTTTTTTTAATTATTTAAGTGAATTTTTAATAATCTTATCTCTGTATTTATTATCTTATTTATACTCATTATCTAGATATAAAAAAATTATTACTGGATTAATATTTTTTAATCTTGTGTTTTATTACTTTAAATTTATTATATTTTATAATTTAAATCGCAAATATTATGAAAGTAAATATAAATAATTCTAAAATATATATCTGAGGTTTTTGGCTTTTTTATATGGTGAAAAAATTACTTAATAAATTTTTAATTTTTCTTAACTTTATTTAGAATAATTTCTATATTTGATTTTAATTTATAACATTTTTTTTATTTAAATTTTTATTCAAATTTTATTTCGAATTATCATCCTTTTTTTAATTCATAAGTATTTATTTATCATTTTTAATTATAATTATATACAAATAAAAAGTTAAATAAATAGTTTTTAATAGAAAAATAAAATTATTAATGTTTAATTTTTTAGTATATGATTCTTGAAGATAATATAAAATATATATATTAAATAATATTAAAAAAAAAAACTTAGTACAAATCTAATGAAAATTTATAAAAAAATTATAAAAGTCAAAAAATTTCTATATCTAAAATAATAATATAAATAAATTATTAAAATTTAAATATAAAAATGTTATAAATAATAATCTAAAATTATTAAAATATATATATAAAAAAAAAAAGATAAAAAAAAAAACTAAAATAAATATAAAATTAAAAATATAAAATTAAAATAAAAAATATATAAAATATAAAAAAAATATTAAATAAAAATATAAATATATAAATATATAAATATATATATTTATTTTTATTTATTTTATTTAATTATATATTAATTTTTTTTTTTAATATATAATTTTATAATTGTACAATTTTTTATTTTTTTTATATATATAAAATAAAATTTTTATATAATAATTATATTTCATTTTTAAAATGTATTTTTTAATTTTATTTAAAAAAAATTATTTAAACAAAATTCTATTTAATTAATATATTATAATATTTATATATCAATTTATATTCGATTATTTCGAAATTGCTAATATAAAATTTCTATTATGCATTTAAGCTCTTAAATATTTTTCGCTTTTAATTTTTTAAATTTCAAATATTTCTTTTGGTTCGATTCCATCAAATCTTTAATCATTCATTTTTTGTATAAATTCTTATTCTCCAATATAGAAATCTTCATATACATCATTTCCAGTATTAGATTTAAAATCTTAAACGTAATAATAAGCCAATAACTTATCAGTCCCTGCTATAACAGTATTTTCATCAAAAGAAATATCTACAAATCTAATAGGATCTCTACTAAAAATGTTTTAAATATGAACACATTTTTCTTATTCTACATTAATTAAATCCCAAATTCTAATATCTCCATTTTCCTATCCAATAACCAAATAAGCTCCACTATATGAAATTTTCAAAGCAGTAATTTATGAAGCAAATTAAACACTCAATACACATTACGAAGTTTTAATTTTCCAAAACTTCACAACAAAATCCAATCCCGCAGTAATTAAATGTGATAAAGAAAAGCTGAATTCTGCCAAAATAACATCCCTGGAATGCCCTACGAAAACCCTATGTGGATAAATAGAGTTCGTAGACCATATTATAGCAGTATTATCAGCAGAACAAGAAGCAAAAAGGAAACCTTAATGTGCAAATTTACACTACCAAATTGTTGATAGATGTCCTTTGAAAATTTATATACAGACCACCATTCTTATATCCCATAAACGTATACTTAAATCCGTAGAAGAGGAAATAAAAAAATTTTCGTTGTATAAAATACTTAAAGAAGTTATAGTGTCTTCATGACCTTAGAATTTACTTTTTAATTTTATTAAAGGATCTTTTTAGCTAGTGTTTTGCATATTATCAAATATATTCTATATCATGCTTTGATTTTCAGAAAAACTTTCCTAATAATATAAATCATAAAGTAATATTTAGGAATCTTCGGTTCCACATAAAATTATATTTGAAGAACGACTTATTTCAATGCATGTAATTATATCGTTAGCGTCATCTATTCTTATATTTAAGATATTAGGATAAGTATTTGGGTTGTCAAGATTTTTTCTTTCGAGAAAATCTTAAACCATAAGTGCTTTTTCTTTAATAGAGAAAACTAGATTTGAGTAAAGAGTTTAAGTAGAATTTACTTTTTCGTTTGAATTAGAAATTTCTTTTCTTTCATTTAAATAATCTAGGTGTTTGAAGGCTTTCTAAAAAGCAAGAATTTCATGCGCTTTGCTTGTTTTTTTCCTAAAAACTTCAAGTTTATGAAAAAAGTTTATTTCTTCATAATCTGTGAGTATGTCTAATTAATTTTAATCTTCATCTTCATCATCTTCTTATTTTTAATTATGAAAAGTTACATAATATTCATTATTTGGATAATTTTATTTATCATATAAAGATTATGGTTATCTTTTTCTTATATTTTTTTCTATTATTTCACAACAATAATCTATTTAATGTCTATGAGAATTCATATAACATGTTAAACTCTCAAACGCATATTAGGATATATTTATTTCTGGCTTTTTTTTTATTTCGTTTATTATTTCTTGTACTTTTTCGCTTTGGGAATATTGCTTTGAAATTACAGATTAATATAAAATGTGAATTTGCTTTTTTATTTATAATGATATAAATGATTATTCTTATCCTTTTAAAAATAAACGAAATTATTAATGGATTTAAGGAATTTATTATTAATTTTCCTCCTTTGAATTCGAAATGAATTTCAAAAAATCTATATAAGAATTCAAAATACAACGAAATATGACTTATTCTATGTCTTTTCGTGTTTGCATTAATGATGATTGCATCCATTTAGAAAATACGCTTATTTATCGAATTGCTGTTATTATTGTTTTTAGATTTTCGTTTTCTTACATATTTTAATTTTTTTTTATTTTAAATATTAAAAATAAGAATGTTTTTTATATCTATTATATATAATATTTATTAAAATAATTTTTTATATAAATAAATAATACACATACATTAAAAATCTTCATTTTTTTTTCCTTTCTAAATATCTTTTTTTGGCTTCTTTAATTTTCTCTTCTCTATTTTAAACTTATTCTTTTTATTATTAAGCAAATTCAATTTTATTATTATTATTTTCATTTTCATTTTTACTTTTGTTTATTCCCGCCAACTTAAAGCAATCAATATTCTAAATAAACTCAATATAAGGTTTTATCCATTCAGGCTCTACCTTCGAAATCAATCTCATAACTCCTCTAACATTATTATTTCCACCTAATTCCGTAAATATTACATGCGGGGGGTATTATTCTTCAATTGAAAAGACACTAAAAGGATCTATATCGACTATATTTCCTTCTGGATATAACAATAAATACGTTCCATCTTACACATTTTATATTTTTCTCGCACTATTATAATAAAAACCTGTAGTCAACGCCATTCTGAAAATTTCATCTTTTGTAAGTCCAAATTTTTAATTTTTAACATTGCTTTTATTTAAATATTTTTCATCCTATTTATTATTTCTTTTAGTTTCCTTATCTGCTTGTAAATAAAGCTAAAACAAAAAATCATCTTCATAGAATTCCCTACATTTATCAAAATTGATAGTTTTTATTATATCTTTTAATTAATTTTCTATATTTTCAGTTTATTTAGCAGCTCTTACATTAATAAAAGGTACATTAAATCCTCTTTTCCATTCATCAATAATATTCAGCAACCCCCTATGATCTCCACTATCAACATCCATATATTTCTTTAAATTTTTTTCGAAAATTTTAAACTCATTCTCCCTAATTCTACTCGGTTTACTCCAAATATTTTCTGAAGAAAGTCCTGCGACTAACCTCAAAACATCATAATGACAATTCATAAAATATGAAGAGATCAAAGCCTTGGAATAAGAAGGTTCTAAAGGGAATTTATTCATTTCTAATCCCAATAAAGTCACAAATCCATCCTCTTTAATAGCTTTTAGAAATCTTAATTATTTTAAAGCTTAAAAAATTGCTTCTTTAGAAGGATGTTCCATATAATCGAAATTCAAAACATCATGAATTTGCATTGATTTTAAAGTCAAAATAACATTAGTTAACGAAACCCTCAAAATTTCCGGTAAAGTTTAATTTTTCATCTCTTCTTCATAAAACTTACTCGAATATAATCTCAAGCATTTTCCTTCTTAAGTTCTCCCAGCTCTACCAGTTCTTTAAATCGCCTAAACTTTCGAAATAGGAACAATTAGAAGAGCATCCATACCTGTTTTGGGGTTAAAGCATTTCTATTTTACGTATCCGCAGTCAATTACAAAGCCTATATTATCAATAGTTAATGAAGTTTCGGCTATATTAGTTGAAAAAATTACTTTTCGGACATTTTCAGGAACCTTCTAAAACACTTATTATTATTCTTCCTATTATAAAGACCCGTATAACGCAAAAATAAGCATTCCCGGAATCTCTCTTCCTTTACTTAGCAATTCTTGCAATTTTTCAATACAAAATTTTCTTGCTTTTTCACATTCTTCCGATCCAGTTAAAAAAACAAGAATATCCCCAGGTCCTTCATTTAAATGAATTCTCAAAACAGCTTTTACACTTTCATCGATTCTCTTATTCGCCAAACATGGTCCATATTTTATTTCAACAGGAAATGAATTTCCTTTCATTTTTAAAACAGGACAACTATCAAAAAATCTAGAAAACTACTAAGTATTTAAAGTTGCGGAAGTAATAATTAATTTCAAAGATCCTTAACGATTTTTAGCCGCCTATTTTATTAAAGCGAACAAAATATCAGTAAAAAGACTCCTTTCATGGGCTTCGTCTAATATTACAATATGATATTTCATTAATAGGGGATCTTATAGACATTCTCGCACTAATATACCATCTGTCATGTATCTTAAATGAGTTTTTGATGATGTTTTATCATCAAATCTTATTGAATATCCTACTTCTGAACCTAATTCAACTCCTCTTTCAACACATATACGTTTTGCCATTGATATTGCGGCTACTCGGCGGGGTTGTGTGATTACTATTTTTAATTTTTGAAGATCTTATGACTGATTTATGTTATTTTTTTACTCATATTCTATTTATAATTATTTTTATTATTCAAATAATTCGCTACTATCTAAAATGTATTATGGGAGTTAGGTTGACTTTCCTGAACCTGTGTCACCTGTGATAATTGAAAAAAAATTATCTTTTATTATTTAAATTATTTTTTCTTTAAATTGGTAGATAGGAAGAGTTTTTCTGAATTCTTCCATTTTTAAATTTTTTTAAATATTTATTTATTTAGATATAATTAAATTATTATATAAATTTGCTTTAATTAATTATTTTAATGTTTTTTTTATATATTAAAAATCAATTCCTTATTCTTTCTTTTTAACTTTCCTATTTTTATAGAAAATTATTATTACTTCTACATGAGTCTTCTAAAAGTACAAATAGTTACTTTTTAATTAAACTATCTTATTTATTAATACTAGAATTATGTATCTTTTTACACTAAAAACTGGTTTTTTTTATGAAAGATAATTATAAATTTGTTTTTTTAATTGTATTAATAATATTTCATTATATTTTTTAATTCTTGAACATCTTCTTTGATTATATTTTTATATTAATTAAAGATTTTCTTACTTATATATTTTTACGAATTTTTTACTAATTTTTTAAAATTTCTTCTATTTTTACTTTCTTCTATGAATATTCTTATTTCTTCTTCAGGTTTTTTTTTTGTTTAAAGTAATTATTAATTCACATAGTTTATCTATTTTTATGTCTTTTTATTTTATTTTTTCTCTAAAAAAAATTTTACCATAATAAAAAGTTTGTTTTTTGCAAATATTTGGCTTATTCTAAAATATATATTTTTCTTCAGATATAATAATGTATTTTTTTGCTTTACTTTTTTATGTTTCCTTTTCAATTTAATTTAATCTATCTTTTCCTTGAAAGATCCTTTATCTCTATTTTGAGTATGCCTTTTAAATAAATCTCTAAATTATCTAATTCTAATAAATATTTTTTAATTTAATATTAATCTTTATATTTCTAATTACTTTTATTTATCATCATGGTATTTATTTGATTTTTTAGGCTAACTAACTTATAAAACATGTTTTTTATTAATTCAAAAATGCTTAAAAGTATTTTTGATAAATTATTATTTGTAAATATTATTTTAAAAAAAATTATCAACAAAAACAAAAAATTCAATAAAAGATGGATTATGAAATTCTTTTTATTGTTATTTGATAATATATCAAAAATAATAAAAAATAATAAAAAAAATCAATAAATAATATATCTATTTCTATTAAATATGTTATTTCGCTAGTTTTTGTTAAATAAAATGAATGATTAATATTTTTATATATTTAAAATAGTATCTTTATATAAATTTTTAATATTAAATGATAAATTTATATATGGCAATTAAAATTAAATATAAATGTTTATTTTATATTAATTTATATTTTTATTATATTAAAATTAAAATTAATTTTAAAATAATTAATTATATATATATATATATATATATATATATATATATATATAATTATTGTGTGATGTATTATTTTTCTCTAAATTATATTTTATCTTCTTTTAATTTTTTTTTTTTCCAAAAGTAATCTTAATATATTTATAAATTTGAAACTAATGTATTTATATAAAATCAAAACATACATCAATCAAAGTAAAAATTAAATGAATAAATAAATAATTAATGAAATTAATATAAAAATAAATAATTATTTATATTTATATAATATTTTTAAGTTATTACGTAATTATATATTTACGTAATTCAAATTTGATAATAATCCTAATAATAATAAATAATAAATCCTATTAATTTATCCGATTTCAATATATATAAAAAAAATAAACATAAAAATAAACTTTTTTTTATAATTAAAAAAAATACCAATAAATTATATATTAATCTTATTTTTAATAAAAATGAATAAAAATGAATATGATGAAAATATTATACAGATAATAGACAATGATCCAATAATAAATTATCTAAATGATTATAAAAAGTAAAATAAAAAGTATTAAAAAAGATAATAAATCATTTTTTATTATAAAAGCCTTCATCAAGGATTTAATATAGTGAATTAAGATAACTTACAACAATAAAACTATAGTTATAATTTGGAAGAATTAAACAAATAGATGTTATATCATAATTAAGATTAAATAGATTATTACAGTCAAAATATGAATCAATAAGGAAATAACAATATAAAGTAGGAAACAAATTATAATACTATTTTAAAAAACTAAGTTAGTAATGATTAACAATAAAAATATAATTGTAATTTTTTATTTCATACATGTTTATATATATAAAACCAAAAAAAGTTAAACTAAATAAGAAGAATATATTAACTTTGGAAATAATGATGCGGAATATATTTTAGAATAAAATAAGAATTTATTTAATTATAAAAACACTTATATTAAAAAAATAAATTCACTTATTACACCTTATGAAAATAAATAAAATTCTTAAAAATATCAAAGGTAATAAAAGTAAATATCTTATTTTTTACAAATGAAATAATAATTTTATATAATAATTATATATTAATTTTTAATTTTTTAATTTAAAAAAAAGAAAATAAAAACAAGTATTAAATGAAATAGAAAATAATAATTTCAAAGAATCTTTTAATTAATAATCTGTTATTTAAAATAATTTAAAATATAATTAAATGTAATTCTAAACAATTAATAAGTTACAAATCAATCTAGAATAACAAAAATAAGAAGAATCAGATAAACTTAATTAAAAATTAGCTAAAAATAGAGAATCAGCAAAAAATAGCAGAAAAAGAAAAAAAGTATATATAGAATTATTAGAATAAAAAGTAAAATAAATATAATAAATAAAAATAAATAAATATACAAAGGTCTAATTATTATCAGATGACTTAGAGAAAACAAAAAAACTCTTAGAAAAAAGCAAATAATAATTGATAAAATTAAATTCTTAATCTTAAATATTAAATAAATTTATACTTGGTAGATAATAACTATTTGAAAAAATAGAAAAATGTATTTCTAAACCAAATTATGAAGAAAATGAAATAAATCTACTTTTAGATTCATTAAGAGTAAATACTAATTTTATTTTTTTAATAAAAAATTAAAAAAATATAATAATAATTAAATAGTTTAGACTTGGTTCTAATGGAAAAGAACGTACTTCTGTTGCTAACTATTTTTTTAAATAAATTATTGACATTTACATACCTACTCATTATAGATATTTATTATAATCTTCTTCTGAAAGTATGTTTTTTTTCTTTAAATACAAAGGCATTTATAATTTATTTTTTAATAGACAATGGTTTATTTAATGAAGATCATAATTATTCTCTTGAGAAAGAAGAGAAAGAAAGCCCTTGGAGATAGGAATTATTATAATAATTGGACCTTAATAACGAATAAAAGTAACAAATATTTAGATTTAAAAAGCGAATTTTTAATGAGAAAAATAAATTGGAAGAGTAAATAAAATAAAATAAAATATGCAATTAATTTTTAAAATAGACTCGTTAATAATTTTTAAGAAACAAAGTAATAAATCCAAATCAAAAGTTTAAAATTAGAAAATATTATTGATGATATTAGAACTATTTTAACACCTACTTAATGTGCTAAGTTTTTAACTTGTTTAGAAAGAGTATTATTTTTTTTGTTTTAAAATATATATATATATAAAAAATTAAATTAAAAAGAATAAATATAGAAGAGATATCAGTAATTAAAATATTTGGAGTTCATTATAAAATAATTAAAGTGATTATGATTTCGATGATGAATTATTTACTTCTAACTAAAATTAAGCTTAACTATAGTATGAATTTTCTGATTTAATTGAATAATCTGAATTACAAAAAATTAAAAAGCAAAATTAATAGTAAACTTAAAAATAAGAAGTATAATACAGTAAATGAAAAATATTTAATACAAAATTAAACAAATATATAGTTTTTTAATGTTATTTATATGTATTTTTTTGTATATATACAAAAAATTAATTAGAAAAAATATCCAAAAATAAAATAAAATGTTAAAAACTTTAACAAATAGATCCTACTTTAAAATATCCTAAAAACATTAATATTTTATCAATAAATATTAATAGTAAAAATATATTTTATAATCATCTTCCTAACCTCAGATATAAATTACTTTAAAAGACGGTAAAATATTAACAGGAAACGCATTTTGTACAACCCCACTAGAAATAGCTAGAAAAATCTCGAAAAATATATCCGAAAAAGCCCTAGTAGCGAAAGTTCAATATTCCAGAAAATATCCAAACGTACTTACATAAGGATTACTTATAAATCCTGAAGAAGAATTGCATTCTGAATGTTGTTTCCATGATCATGATAAATACGAACTTATAGATTTAAATTCATACTTCGAAGGTGATTGTAAGCTTGAGCTTTTTACTTTTGAAGAAAAAGAAGGACAATAAGTAAAATATACAATTTAATATAAAATTAAAACCATTTATTAAGGTTTTTTGGCATTCTACAGCACATATTCTTGGTCTTTCTTTAGAAGAGCTTTATCCAAATGCATTATTATGTACAGGACCAGCAGTAAAAGATGGATTTTTTTACGATTTTTATGTAGATGATCCTTAATTTAAATTAACTCCTGAAGAATACCCAAAGCTAGAATAAATAGCTTAAAAAGCAATAAAAGAAAAGCATATTTTCGAAAGAATATTTTTAAACAAAAATGAATGCAAAGAACTTTTTAAAGAAAATACATTCAAATTAAAATTAATTAAAGAAAAAATCCCAGAAAACGGATACGCTTCAGTATATAAATGCGGAAATTTAATTGATTTATGCACAGGACCTCACATACCAAACTCAGGCTATATAAAAGCATTTAAATTATAAAAAAATTCATCCTCCTACTGGCTTTCAGATAAAAAAAATTAATCTTTACAAAGAGTTTATGGAATTTCATTCCCAAAAGAATCCCTATTAACTGAATTTTTAAAAAGGGAACAAGAAAAAGCATAAAGAGACCACCGAAATATCGGAAAAAACCAAAATTTATTCAACTTTAATGGTTATGCAGCAGGAAGTGCTTTTTTTTTCCCTCAAGGTGCACATATATATAACAAAATAATGGAAACATTACGCAAATAATATAAACTGAGAAATTACTAAGAAGTAATAACTCCTAATTTATACAATTGTGACCTTTGGAAAATATCAGGACACTGGGATAAATATAAAGAAAACATGTTCGTTATTAAAAATGATGACGAAGTTCTTGGTTTAAAGCCCATGAATTGTCCTGGACATTGTTTGATGTTTTCTTCAATATAAAGATCCTATAAAGAACTACCTTTAAGATTTGCAGATTTCGGAGTTTTACATAGAAATGAAATATAAGGAAGTCTTTCAGGATTAACTAGAGTAAGAAGATTTTAATAAGATGATGGCCATATTTTTTGTACACTGGAGTAAATATAGGATGAAATTTTTGATTTTTTGGATTTTTTAGATTTTTTTTATTCACTCTTTGGATTTTAATATTCACTAGCACTATCTACAAGACCTGAAAATTATATAGGAAGTGAAGAAATATGGGAATAAGCAGAAAAATAATTAGTTTTGGCCTTAGAAAAATTCAATAAACCTTTTATTATTAAATAAAAAGATGGGGCTTTTTATGGACCGAAAATCGATGTTTCTTTACATGATACGCATGATAGAAACTTTTAATGTGGTACTGTTTAATTAGATTTTAATTTACCAGAAAGATTTAATTTATAATATAGAGCATAAGATACTTCTATTTAAGAAAAAGGACTAAAATAGGGATTTTTAAGACCTGTAATACTCCATAGGGCTGTTATAGGATCTTTTGAAAGATTTTTAGGAATTCTTTGTGAATAAAATGCTGGAAAATGGCCTTTTTGGATTTCTCCTTTTTAATTTGTGGTTATTAGTGTAGATAAAAGTGGTGAAGATTACGCCAAGAATATTTTTTAGATTATACAAAAAGAAGGATTTGAAGCTTAAGTTGATGTTTCAGATGATTCTTTGGGAAAAAAAGTTAGAAACTGGCATCATTTTAACTATATTGGCGTTGTTGGAAAAGAAGAAATTTAAAAAGGAGAAATCGATATTAGAAGCAGAGATGGAATTAGATTAGTAAGAAAAAATTATTTTATAATTCATATATATATATATGTAAAAAAAAGGGAAAATTTACAATAAAAAATCTTATCATATTCCTCAAAAAAGAAAATGAAATACCTATATCAAAATATGAAGAAAAACTTGAATAAAAAATAAATACATATTCTTTTTAAAATGAAGATGAAAGCTTTTTAAATAATATAAACGAAGAATTATTAAATAAAAACTTCTTTAATAATGACGGGTATACTAAAGGACCAAAAGATGATGAAATTTATGAAAAATTATAAAAATTAGCCTTTTTTGAACCTTAAAAATATATAAATATAAAAAGATGGTTAAAATATTACAAAAAATCTAATTGAAAAATTATAATGTAAAAAATACTATTTATTCAATAAAAAAAAAAAAAAGTTTATTTATATTATTAAAATTCATTTATAATTTTTGAACCTTTAATTATTTATTTTAAATTTAATATAATATTATTTGTTTTTTTTCATTATATTTTCTCTTCAAAATAACTCATTTTATTTAATTCAGCATTTCTCATTCTTAAAAGTTCATATAAATGAAGATTTTCTTGAAAAATTCTATTTTTTTCATCATCGATTTCTCTCATTTTATTCAAAAAACTGTCTAATTCTTTTTCTAAGTTATCACATTTTTCTTCCAATTCAATCATTCTTTCATTATTAATTGGCTTTTCTTCATTTTTTTTAATTAAAAATGCTATTTTTACTTCATATTCTTTCACTTTTTAATATAGTTTCTCATTTTAAGTGTTTTATTCTTTTAATAAATTTTACATTTTTGTAAATTCTAACATTTGTTTTTCATATTAATCATTTTTCTTTTATAATTTAAGGAGAAGTTTTTGCTTTATTTATAAATTTTCTTTCAATTCATCAATAGTTTTATCTTTATATGAATTCTTTTCATTTTCTTAAAAAAAACTTGAATTTTAATGAACTAGATTTTAATTTTCTTATTGAAGTTTTTATAATTATTACTCTAATTCTTATACTTTTTCGAAATTTTACTATTCTATTTCTAATAATTTGACTTAAAGTTTTTCAATTTCAATATTTTTTTCTAATTATTAGATTTCGTTTTCCTTATTTTATTATTAAAGAATAAGATTGTCTATTTTTAATTATTCCAGTTTTTTTATCATACTATTTTCTTCATTTTATTAAAAAGTAAAATTATTTTCATTTTTAATTACCCGATTTTATGAATTGTTTTTTTCAATGTTGTGTTTATTACTTCTTAGAACTTTTAAGGGGTTGATATTTGTTATATTATAGGATTAATTTTATTTAACTTGAATAATTGCTAAAAATTTTATTTATTTTATATAGTATCATTATTTTATTAAATTGTATTATTATTTTTTAAAATTTTTTTAGGTTATATGATTTGATTTGTATAATTAAATTACATGAGTTATTACTTGTTTTATTCTTTACAGAGTATTTTTTTTTTTTTTTTGAAAAATAATTATTTATTCACTTATTTAAAAATTTTAAAATAATTTAGAGTTTAATATTTATTTTTTATTTCTTTTTTTAATAGATTTTTTTTAATTTATTTTGTAATTTGTTTCAATATAGAATTCGAAATAAACACTTATAAATGTAAGTTTTGTTTGCATATTTAATTTATATTTTTTAAATTATTAGTGATATTAGTTTTTTATATATTTCATTGTGATTATTATTATAATTATTTATATATTTAAATTAATTTTAGTAGTTTTCTTTTTAAATTATTAAGTTTCCATATATTTATACATTTTTTATATAGCTTGATTTGATTAAAAATAAAATTATATTTTAATGTACCTTCCTTAAATAATATTTATATTTTTTAGGCTTATAAAAAGAATAATTATTTCAAATAAAAATTACAAATTTAAAAATATTACTTATTAACTTTGCTTTTTATGAATTTTTTATTGAAAAACATAATTAACAAAAAAAATATAGAAAAACGGACCATTGACGTTTTTTTTTTATTGTATTTTTAGATATTACAGTGTAAAAATAAGCAATTATAAAAAAAAATATTAAATGTGAATTAAAAAGAAATGCTTTTATTAATTAAAATTTATATTTTATATAAATAAATATTAAAATTAATTAATTATAATAATATATAATTTAATTTTTTTAATATTTAGAATATTATAAAAAGAATTATGTCAATTAGTATTAATTTATATCAATAAAGAAAAATTTAATAAATTAAATAAATATCATTATATATAATTTTTTTTGGTTTAAAAATATTAAGTGAAAATAATTATTTGTATATTCTCAAAGATGGAATTATAAAATCTAAATTTTAAATATTATCTAATTTATTTAATTTATAATAAGTTTTGGTAATCAAGAAATTTAATTAGAATGAAAATAAACCTAAAAACAGCATAATTACAATAGTTTATAATAAACTATTTTTAATTTTTTACTAAATTAAAATAATAACAATACATAATTAGCAAATATAAATAAAAAAACTATTTAAAATTTTATTTATTTTTTCAAAATAAAAATAATAATCATAAATATAATTACTGTAAATACAAAAGGACATAACGTTATTAATATAAATAACGTCTATTATTAGTTCATTAAATAAGAAAATATATAAAATAAAGTAATTAAAAATATTAAAAAAAAAAAAAAGTTAAAAGGCAATACACTTATTTATTTTTCAAGGAAAATTAATGCAAAAAAGCATATTATAAATAGAGCTATATTTAAATATAAAACTGAAATATTTTGATTCTAAAAATACTTTATTTCTTATATTATATTTGCTAAAATAATTTAAATCAGTAACAAAATAATTTAAATTAACAATAAGAATAACATTTTTATTAAATATTTTTGTATTTCTTTATTATCTAAAATGCTTTTTACATTAAATCGTTTTATTTACTTTATAATTTACGGCTTTTTTTTTTTTTTTTCAGGAACTATATTAATTTTATATTATTAATTCTATATTTCTTACCGATTATTTTCTTTTTATTTCTTATTTTCTTTTTTTTGATTATGTTAATTTTAATTAAAAAACATCCAAACAATCATTTTTTTTCTTTTATCTAGTTATTTTGAAAAAGATTAAATATTCTTTTTTTTTTTATTTTTTTTTTTAATGAAAATAAGCATATTAAATTAATACAATTTAAATTAGCAAAAATTTAAATCCAAAATGACATAAATAAAAACAATTTTTTTTAAAAAAATAAATAATTTTGGTAAAAATAATAAATTTCGCTAATATATTATTAATATTAATTTTAATTTAAAGGATTAATAAATATATATGTTAATTATTTAGAATTTTATTATAAGCATTATTTAATTAAAAAACATTATTATAATATAATAAGGATTATTAATATTCATTTTATAAAATAATTTCAACCTTTTAAAAGCTATATAAGTAATTATTATTAAATTTCTTTTTTTAAAAATAAATATATAAAAAATAAATTGTGTGGTATAAATAAAATTATTTAAAAATGCTCATTAAAAATATAAATTTAAATCAAATTATTTTATATTATCAAAAAAAGAAAAAAGAAAAAAAAAACTAAACTAAATATTAAAATAATAATATTTAATAAAAAAAAGTCATAAGAATCATTTCTTTGAATATAATTATTAAATAACATTTTTAAAATGTATCTTTGCTTTATTTCTTTGAAGTTTAAAACTGCTGGTTAAACATTCATGAATAAGCATAGAAACTGGTTCTAAATAAACTTTAATAGCTTATTCAAAAGTAGCTAGACCTTCTTTTTTTCCCTAATCAAATATGCTTTTTTAATAAAAATTAATCATTTATTCATTTGCGCATAAAGTATTGACATCATCACTCTAGATATTTAGTTCTTTTGCGATTTTTTTAATTTCATCAGGGTTAGGAACGATAATAGCCACACAATAATTTTACAAAGAATCACCATAAACAAAAATTTCAGCAACTCCTCTAGCTCTTTAATAAATATTTTCTACTTTTTCAGGAGCAACATATTCACCTTGACTTAATTTGAATATGTTTTTCTTTCTATCAATAATTTTCAAAGCCCCATTAGGTAAAATTTATCCAACATCACCTGAATGAAGCCATCCATCATCATCAATAGTTTCCTTTGTTTTTTCTTCATCTTTATAATATCCTGCAAAAACAGTAGGTCCTCTAACACAAATTTCACCTCTGGGTGTAGCATTTCCTTATTCATCTTTATCTGTAGAAAAATAATTCATATCAGGGACATCGACTAATTTTAATTCTAAAGAATTACACACACCTCCTACATGTCCTGATTCTTTATCTTCAATCTATGTTATAAATTCGAAACCAGTACCTTCTGTTTATCCATAAATTTCAAGAAAAGGCGCACCAAGAGCAATTTTGAAGAAATCTAAAACTACTTTAGATAATGGGGCAGAGGCTGTAATACATATTTTTATTCTTCCTCCAAAGATATTTTTTATTTTGTTAAATACTAAAGTGTCGTATAAATAGTGTTTTAAACTATTTGTATTTTTTAAGTTTTCCAATTTAGTATTTATTCCATTTTCAATTAATTTATTTGCAAATCCTGTTTATTATTTGAATTATTCCTAAATTAAATCATAAAATCTGTTAAATAATCTTGGTACAGAAACGAATACAGTAGGGCGAATCACCTAAAAGTCTTCTTTTAATTTTTGAATATTTCCTCCGAAAAAGGCTATTTTCATACCTGTATACCAAGAACCAATATTTAAACCTCTTTACATGATATGTGCAAGCGGTAAATAACACATTTAAACATCATTTTAATGGAATTTAAGTTAACCTAATTTAAAATTTGATAATGCAGCTACTAAATTTTTATGAGACAACATTGCTCCTTTAGGTAATCCAGTTGTTCCAGATGTATAACTAAAAGTAAATATATCATCAGGCTTTAGAGTTGCTAGAGGAAGGATATTTGCATTTCCTGTGCAAATCAATTATTCGTAATCATAATAATTGAGTCCTTTTTACTTTATTTTTTCTATTAAAGCTTCTTCAATTTTATCATAAAGAATAAGATTTTTCAGTAAATGTAATTTTTCAGTTTTAAGTATTATTTCAGCTGATTATTATGAGCAAAATAAAGAACTAATAGAAGAATTTTAGAGTACATGAGAAATTGATTCAGACCCAAAAGTATCATATAAAGGTACCGTAGTATACCCATAAAGGACACAGGCCATATCTGTAACATTCCATTCTGTTCTGTTTTTAGAATATATTCCTATTATCTTCATTTTAAAATCCTTATATTCATGAATTTCATTGAATAATTTCATTTATTGTACTGCAGATCCTAAAGCTTTTGCTTCATTATAGACTTAATTGTATTTAACATATTAGTATTTTCCAGTTTATTTATCATAACTTCCTACAAAATCTGATTATGCAAATTATTTGTGACCACTTTCGATTACGTCTTATAAAGTGTTTATATGTATCTCAGGCTTAAAATGTAAGCATTCGAAAGTATTTGCGTTTTTATATATATGAGATTCGCCAGGATTTTTCGAGCCGAACGGTATAGCGTATACTATTTGAGATTATTAGGTTTATCCCATTTTTAAATTTTTTTAAATATTTTTTTAAATTTTTAATTTTAAATAATTTTTAAATATTTTACGAAATATAATTTTAAATATTTTATAAAAGTAAAAAAATATTTTATAAAATTCTTAATTAAATTCAAATATATAAAATTTAATCATATATAAGTAATAATTTAAATTATTTTAAATACGATTTAATATTATTTTTAAATATAATTAATAAAAATTTATATTATATATATAAATATATAAATATATAAATATATATATATATATATATATATATATATATATATATAGTATATAAGTATTGCATATTTAAATTATGTTAATACCTTCTAAATATTTTAAATATTTAAACTATAGGAAATTTTAAACTTAAAAGAATATCCATAAATAAAATTTCTTTATTTTGATATTAAACAAATTATTTATAAAATAAAAATTTTTTTATAAGTAAAATTTCGAATATAATAATATTATATTTAAAAAAAAAAAATCGATAAAAAAAGCTTTTAAATCTATGCATATATTTAAAAATGTTTTACTTTAATAGTTTATAATATTATTGATTGATTTTTTTTAAAAATACATTAAAAAGTATTATTAGTTTTAAAAATAATTTACAAAAAAAATACATTTTAAGTTAAATTTTTATAATATATTCAATATATTTAAAATAAATATTTACAAATTTATTTCAAAAAATATATTTGTCCTTAATAAAAAAATATAATATATATTTATAATTTATAATATATAAAATATCTTTTATAATATTAAAAAATATTACTAATTAGAAATTAAAGAAATTTTATTTTATTAAAATATATTTATTTTTGTTCATAAAAAATTATAGCTAAAAAAATCTTAATAACTAAAAAAGAATATTATCTTTTACTTAATTTATTCAAATAGTAATAAAAAAGATTTATTTCTATTTAAATAGACTAAATATAAAAAAAAAATTAAAAAAGTTAAATTAAATATAATTATTTATATTAATTAATTAATTAAATGAATAGGTTTTTTTTTATAATAATTATAATAAAAATAAAATTAATTTTAATTATTTCGAATTGTTTAATATTGAATATGATAATATTGTATTATTTAAATTTATATTTTATGATAAAAAATCCACTTTACAGTTATTATATATATTTTTAAAAAAAAAACAAAAAACAAAAAAATAATTATATTTATTTGAATTTAATATAAATTACAATAAATATTACTTTATAAAAATATATAAATAAAACATATTAATAATATAAAAAAAATATTTATGATTATTTATAAAATTATAATATTTTTATTTAAATATTTAATAATAAAAATTAAAAAATATTTATATATTATTTAAAATAATAAAATATTTTTTAATATATTTTTTTTAATCATAAATAAATAAAAGTAAAAATTCATGATTAAAAACATAAATTAAGAATTAAATTTAAAAAAGTACAAAATAAACATAATCAAAAAATATAATTACATTAAAAATTTTATAAATTAAAATTAACATTCACTTTTTTTATTATTGCACTTTACTATTATATAAAAGTTATGAGTATCTTGAATTATCTTCTGGAAAACATTTATTAATAATAAACTAATATATATAATTATAAGTAATCGTAAATATCCAAACGAGATAAATATAAGCACAGACCATATTAAACAGTTATAACTCTTTGCATTAAGATTTTTATTTAAAGAAATATTATTGAATTCCAAAAAACATAGTAATTAAATTGAAAATAAAAAAAGCTCCTAAAAATACAAATGTTTATATTGTTACACAAACAGCACCACATGCTTACATTATATTGTGTATAATTGAAAATTTAGAAAGAAGTATAAAGACAAAAATTATTGCAAAAATGATTGAATTTCCATATAAAATCCAATTTAGGAATTTCTCGGAATTCTAATCTTAACAATCGTCTTATGAATAAACTCTATGTGTACATATTGCTAACATCAAAAAAATAAAATTATTTAATCTAACTAATTTTTATATATCTATTTTATTTTCAGTTCTTATATCATCTATTTTCATATTTTTTGTTTGTTTTTTTATTAATTGTATTATTTTAATTAATTGAAATATTATAATTTATTTTAATATCAATTTTTTTTTAGAAAAATAAATATTCATATTTTTTTTTTTTTTATTAAATAAATTTTTATTTACTTTATTAATTTATTATAATGTCAGTTTCTTATTTAAAACCTTCCTTATTTGAAAGTGCTTCACCTCATTTATTTGCTTAAAATTCTTAGGTTTCCCCTTATCCTTAAAACTCTCCTCCCAGAAAAGCCTTTTAACCTGATAAAGAAAAGCAATTTATAAATGAAAAAAAAGATAAATTAATAAACGATTTTTATGAAAAGTATCTTAAAAATGCTTCCTAAAAAGATAATTTCAAAAAAGTTACTTATGCTGATGGCGCTAGCTATATAGGTCAAATGTCAAATGACACAATAAAATAAGGAAAAGGAATCTATACGTAAATATTTATTATACTTTATCTTTATTTATAGCTTTTAATATTTTCTTTTGTAGATATCCAAATGGTGATCAATATTTAGGCGATTGGAAAGATGACATTTTCAATGGAAAAGGTATTTATATTTTTACTATAGGTGAAATTTATGAAGGAGAATTGTAGAATGGCTATAAGCATGGTATTGGATCGTAAAAAAAATAGCAATTTCAATAAAAATAATTATTTTTCTGAAAAATAAAAATAAAAATTAGTTATTATTATTCCAACGGAAATTTTTATGAAGGGGAATGGTTTGAAGACAAAAAGGAAAACAGGGGAATATATATATACAAAACAACAGGTGAGAAATATGAAGGATTATGGAAAAATGGTGAAAGACATGGGAAAGGTACTTACTATTATGCATTTGGTGATAAATATGAAGGAGAGTAAATAAGAAAGCTATTAATTATTTTTTATTAAAATAACAAAAAAAAGATGGGAAAATGGTTTCAAATCAGGTTTTGGAATATTGTATTATTCTTCAGGCGCATAATATGAAGGAGAATGGTAAAGAGATTTAGCAAACGGTAAAGGAACAATGAATTATGCGAATAAAGATAGATATGAAGGAGAGGTAAAATAATTTTTTTAATTTTAAATTTAAAAATATAAATAAAAGTGGTTTGATGGTGTTAAATAAGGTTATGGAATTTACTTTTTTAAAGATGGAGGAAGATTTGAAGGAGATTGGTTAAGAGATTACATGAATGGAATGGGCTAATTTAATAGTGCAAATGGAGATGTTTATTAAGGGGAATTCAAAGAAGGTGAGAAAAGTGGTGTTGGAGTTATTTAATATGCAAATGGAGATTTATATGAAGGAGAATTCTAAAATGATAAAATTCATGGGTTAGGTACTATGACTATATAAAATGGAGATATTTATTCTGGCGAATGGAAACAAGGAGTCAAAAGTGGAAGAGGTTAATACTAATTCGCTTCATAAGATGTTTATGAGGGATATTGGGCTAATGGAATAAGATAAGGTAAAGGTATATATAAATGGAAAACAGGAGAAACCTTCATTGGAGAATGGAAAGCTGATAAAATGAATGGATTTGGGGTATTTTATTTATTTTATTTATTTATTTATTATAATTTTTTTAGTAATTTATTAAAGTTGATGGAACAGTCTATGAAGGATTTTTACAAAATGATATGGTTGTCAAAAATGATGCTATTTGAAAATTTTATATAATTTTATATAAAATGTTAAAATATACTAATGTTTATTTTTTTATTTTATTTCGTTTTTTTTGTTTAATTAAATTTTTTATTTATTTTTCATAATTTTTTTAATTTTTTTATTTTATGTTTATATTCCCCTTTTATTGAAAATTGTTCTTTTGTTTTTTATATTATTATTTCTACTTGCTATTCATTTATTTTAATATTTTTAAATATTAAATTATTATTTATATTCTATAGTTAAATATTATTATTTTCTTCTTTTTAGTTATAAATTATTTTCTATTAAGTTTCATTATTTTGAAAATCAGATTAAAAACATTATTTATCCTCTAATAAATTTGTAATAACTTCAAAATACTATTCACAATTTTTGTTGAAATCACAAAATAAAATCAAAGGTTTATTACATTAAGAATTTTAAAGAAAACAAACTCCAAAAATAATTTTTCCTGGTATAAAAATAAAATACTAAAGATTAAACTTAAAATGATTTTCTCCATCCAAAAAACAATCCAAATTATTTTAAAAAAAAAATTCAATTTACTTTTTAAAATCTCCAAAACCATAAATCTATACATCACTAAAAAATTCTTTTTAATTATTATAAGCTTTCTAAAAAGCATTTTAAATGTCTTAAACTCCTTCTAATAATACAAAAAACTTTTCTAAATCATCCAAAGTCTCATTATTATTTGCCAAAAATTCCCTAAATAATTCTTCAATAAACGACTTCTAATATTATTCATCAAATAAATTATCCTTATCTTTTAAAGATTTCAAAACCAAATTCTATATTTTTTCTAATAATTATTAATTTTCTATCTTACAATAAGGTTTTAAACTTCCCATAATTTGTTCCAAATAAAAGCCTAACTCTTCTTAAAAGTTAACCTTTTAGCAATTCACAAATTCAAATTCTATAATATCATTTATCCCTAAAATATTTGAAAGCAATTTTTCCCTATCCAGACATTAATTTTTAAACATTCCTGCAAAGAAAAGAACTATTTCTAATGATTTGATTCCTTTTAAAGTTTCATGTTCTTATCTAAGGACAGACCTGGATATACATTCGACTAAAAATTCAATAGGAAAAGGGTATTAAGGTATATAATTAACAGAATTAAAACTAGGAACGAGTAAAAAAATACATAAAAAAGGTTATAAACTTAATAATTCTTCAACTTATTTTTTTGCACTTTCCAAATTGTAATTCTTATCTAATAAAATTACTTTATTTTCTTTTAATTTTTCTTATACTTCCTTTTTGAATATATAATTCGCTCTTTTTCCTGTCCTTTCAAATTTTTCTTCAAAATTTCCTTTTTTTTCTTTTTTCATTTCCTATTCTCTTATCGAATCTGAACTTATGATTTCCACTTAAACACCTTTTTTTGTCCAAGTTTCCTTTATTTTTCTAAAAAATATACTTTTTCCCATTCCAGGTATTCCCAAAGGTAATAAAACAAATTAATTTACATTTTTTTATTCAGAAACTTAAAAAGTTTATCCTTAGAAAGTATTCTTTGGCCATAAATACCCTTTTAAGGATTTTATTTATTCCAAAGATTCTAAATTAAGTTCCTTTTTTTAATTTTCATAATAAATAATAGCATTTAAAAGCACCAAAAAAAATTATGAAGCGAATTCTTGATTTATAAATATATTTTTTTCAACAAAATCAAATATTTTTAATCCCAACATTATATAAAAATTTATAGGAAAATCCAAACAATTTTTTTTCGAAATTCCTTTGATTTCCCTTACGTATTTTTAAAGGAAAAATCCTTTATTTAAGCATTTCTTTTGAATAAAAAGTTTTAGTTTTTCCCTTAATTTTCTTAATATTTTATATTCAATGTTCTTTATTTTCCAAATGCCCATAAGTTCTTTATTTTCTTTATAAAAATATAAAACTTCGCCTTCGCAAACATTTTTTTATTTATTTTTTCCTTCATAAACTTCCGTTTAAACATCTAAAACTTAATTATGGAATTTTTAAAAATCTTCAAAAGGACCTAATTACTTAATTGATACAAACTTTAATTAAAATTATTCAAAGAAAGATTAAGAAATAACAGGATAAACGATATTTTATCCCTAATTAATAGCATAAAAAACAATCTAAGGCTCTTAATATTCTACAAGGTGTAGGTTCTACTGATTTCCTACAAACTCGCCTATTAAAGTATATTTTTTATCTGAAATATAATCCGTTAATTTATCCAATAAATCCGTATTTAAAAATCCTATTTCTTAAAACCAATAAAAAGCGATTTATTTTGCAAAAGAAAATCTTAGATGTTCATAAAGAATTATCTATGATTAATTTTATGCAACTAAACTAACATTTTTCGAGCAAATTATCCAAGAACCGATTTCTTTTGAAAAAGAAATCTATACGTTTTCTCCATTTAGCTTTTCTGTTCGAAAAAAAGAAATATTATTTTCAAAAATAATCGAATCTTTTGCATTTAGGTCGTAAAATTTCTTTAAACCTCGTCTTATAAATTAATATTCATCATTTATTTTCATTATAGTATTCCCTCTATGGATATTTTGTAAATAAAATGGGTCTTTTTTATATATTTTTTCTTCGTTTTAACTCATTTATATATCAATAATTGTTATTTCATGATTATATGGAACTTAATATTCTTTTATGAATAAGTTTTAGTCTGATTTTGATTTTTCGTATAGAGTTTTGGGATGCATTTACATTTGATATTTTGTTTGTTTGATTTTTTATGATTTTTTTTTAATTTTATATATATATTTTTTATATTATGTAGAAAAAAATAAAATACATGTTAATATTAATAATTTTATCAAGCTTTATTTTTTTATTTATCTTTCTTTTTTGAAGGTGCTTTCATCATTTCTTTTCTGATTTAAAAAAGCTCTTATTTAGTTTTTTCTTTTTTTTCTTAATTAGAAACTTCACTATAATCTTGAGTTTTTCTTGCTAATTCAGTTTTATTTTTTATAAAAGTTTCCGCCAGACTATCACTATTTTCCCCAAAATTTGCAGTCATTTCATATTTTTTTAAAGATTATTTCCTATCTTAAGACTAATAAAAATATAAAAATAAATTTTTAACAAAAATATTACTCTTTCCATTTCTGAAAAAGAATAACTTAATTCAGAACTTGGAGACAATTATTACTAAAGTTAATTTTATCTTTATTTTTAGAATTTTTCTTCCGAAAAAGTATTATTATCTGGCATTTTTTCAGTAAAATCGCTTTAGTTTTTCTCAAAAAATTAATTTTCATCACGATTTTTTCTCCTTTAACTTGAAGGGAACTCTTCTTTTTAATAATTATCATATATATTTTAATTATAATTTTCATTTATTTTATTTTCATAAGAGTTATACTGGTTTTCACCCCCCATATTATTGTTATTTATTCCCAAAAATTCATCCAATAATTAATTTGCTTTTTTAATTTTATCAGGATTATTTGTATAAATTATTTTCTTGTTTTTTTTCTAAGAACTATTACCAAAAAGACTCTATTACTATTAAAATTGAAGATTTTTTCTTTCTTTTTCCAAATTTTAAAGATATTCTTCTTATTCTTATATATATTTCTTTATATCAATTCTATTTTGACTATCTTTATGAACTTCTTCTTTATTTTTTAAATTTTCGTCCTTTTTTTTTAATGTTTCATATAAAAAATCACCTTCTTCAATTTATTTATTCTCTTCTTCTTCTACTTCATCTTCTTTTTCCACAGAAATGAATTTTATTTATTTCTTTGGTTTTTTTAAACTATTTTTATCATCTTTGATTTCATACGAATTATAGCCATTCGGAATTTCTTCCTTTTAAGAAGTACATTTTAAAGGATTACTATCTAATGGTGGTTTTCGATAAATTTTAACATTTTTCTATTTTTTTTAAGCCTTTTCTATTACTTTTTTCTCAAAATCTTATACTTTTGAGTCTTTTTTAGGAATTTCTTCATGAGTCCATGAAGCATTTGGTCCAAAAAATTTTTTTTCGAATTCTTTTTCGACTTAATTTTTCGTAAAAACTTCATTTTGAATACTAACAAGGCTTTTTTTTAACCTATTTTTCTATCTTTAATTTCCTACTACTTAATTTTCTATTAGGTTTGAACAAAATCTTCTAAAAGCTTCTTTTATTTTTCCTTTTCTAATGCTTCCTTATGTCTTTCTTGATTTTTTTCTTTCGAAGTTTTTCTTTTTAAAAGTTTTTCCATATTTTCTTGTTAAGTTCTTTCATATTCTTTTATGGCATTTTCAATAGCTTTAATTTTTTTATTTATTATTAAAAAAAACCAAAAATTAATTTTTTTATTACCATTTTCTTTATCTTCCTATTTAATAACTATTGGATTGTGGAAATAAGTTTTTGAAAAGTCAATATTTTTTAAATAATTTTTTTTATTTTCAGTTTCTGTATATTATAAAGGATCTTCTTCTTCGTTTTTTTCTCCTCTCTTTTCTTTGTATTTTTTTGCTTTTTTACGTTCTTCTGCTTCGATTTTTTCTTTTATTTCTTTTTTTCTTTAAAAATCTTCTTTTTCTTTATATATCAAATCATATTTTTCTATTTTTTAACGTTCTTTTGCTTATTAAGTTCTTATTTTTTAATTTTAAGTCCATATTTATTGTTTTTCTGCCTTCAATTGTTATTCTATAAGCATTATTTCTTCCATTTCTTATGCTTCTTTATGTGCTTTTCCTAATTCTTCCTCTTATTTTTGTCTTTCTTCTTCCAAAGATTATTTAAGCTATTTTAAACGCAAATATTCTTAATATTTTTATTCTCTATCTTCTTATTCTTTCATTTTTTAGGATTATGCCTTTACATCGTTTGATATTTATTTACTTATTTCTCGTTCTTATTATCGAATCTTTTTAGATTTATATTTTAATTTATTAAAAAATTTAAATTACTTCTTATAATCTTGAACATTTTAAACTTTATTACGCTTTTTAATTAAAATCTTACCATTCAGAAGTTCCTATAAAAGCCGTTTTTAAAAAAGATTTTTAAAGAATAGCTTATTGCATTTTAATATTTATATATAGGAAAATATTTAAAAAAAATTTGTTTAAAAAAAAAAAAAAAAAAAAAAAAAAAAATTATTGAATTTGAAAAAATAAATAAAATAATAATATTTTATTTTATTTTTTAAATAAAATTAATTTTAAATAAAAGTTAAATTTTTACTTTTTTTTTTTTTTTTTATAATAAAATTTTTTAATCAATAAAAACAACTTTATTAATCAAATCACATATTTAGTTAAATTAAAGAGTATATTTTTATATTAAAATTTTAGTAATTGTATTATTTCTAATAATTAATAGAGTAGTTTTTAAAAAATAGAGGAAAAATAGCTAAAATTAATTAATTTCAATATATTAAAATTTTTAATATATATATGTATATATAACAATTAATACTAATTTAAAATAAATATAAATATAAACATAGAAATAAATAAAAAATGAATTAATTAAGTTATTAATTACAAATAATTGACCAATAAACAGAAGATAAATAAACAGAATAAATCATAATATTAGATAATTTAAAAATCTATAAAATACCATAATAAATAAAGCTAAAATTAGAATAATATAAAAGCTTAAAATAATTATCAATATGCAAAACAAATTTATAAAATTTGGAAAACTTTCCGAATTTGCCTCAGCTAATACATTTAGAATTAAATAATAACAAAATAAACGGAAATTAAATAAAACATTTACTTCATTTAAAGCAATTAGAATTATTATCTCTTTAAAATAATTTTATTGACTCTTTATAACATATTAATCCTTTAAAATTTTTACCGAAATTAACTGAATTAATACTCTTGGGAAATTATATTTGTAAATTTAAAGAATATAGAACTTATATTTTCAAGAATATACTATAATTATTAATTTTAGATGATTTAAATGAAAATAGCGAATAAATTTAAACTGAAGAAATTGAAAATAATAATGAATAGAAATAGAATGATCAGACAAGTTAATAAAACAATGAATAAAATAATGATCCCCAAAATCAAAATTTGTAATAAGATTTAGAAAAATATGATGAAAATTACGAAAATTTAAACTAAGAAAATTAAGAAGAAGTTGAATATAAAATTCAAGAAAAATCAATAGATACAAATGAGAATGAAGAATTTTTAGAAAATTCCTAAGAAAATTTAGAAAATATTAATGAAGAATCATTCGAAGATAATAATGAAGAAAATGAAGAAGATATCGAAGAAGATCATGAATATTAATAAGAGATAGATTACTAAGAAAGTAGTGAATAAAAATAAAATCAAGAATACTCTAAAGAGGAATAAAGCTGGGATTAAATAGAAGATATAGAAGGTTCTTCTACAAATAATAAAAAGTAGAAATTAAAATGATTTTAATGTATTTATTTTATATGTTAACAAAAGTATATTAGTAATAAAGAAATAATTTATAAATAATACTGTTATTATCAAACATTTTCAATTGAAACTAATATTATTTTTATCAATAAAAATAAAAAAATATTTTAAATCAATATTAATACTATTTTTAAAAGGAAAAAATAAATAATTTATTTTATTTATATTGGTTTTTTTTTAAAAAAAAGTACTTTTTTGTAAAAAATATATATATTAATTAATTTTTTTCTTTTATATTTAAATTGTTTTTTATTAATTAAATCATTGTTTTAAATCCATTTTTTTATTAAGTTTTTGCTGTAAATAAAATATGTTATTACCTCTAATAAATATTTCTCCATATTTATTTTTTAATTCTGAATTCTCGAATTCCTCTGCTTATTATAATACTACATTCATTAAACCATCAAATGTTGCTAAAACACCTACATATTCGCTTCCATTATGTAACTTTACGCTTACTAATCTTCCCATTATCTATTTTAAAAAATCTGTTGGGTTTCTTTTTGGTTTGTTCATATATTTTATTTAAGTATTAATATTTTTTAATAAATATTAAATTTTATATAGATCTTTAAATATAATAAATATATATATCTTTTTTCTAATTAATTTATAAATAATATTTTTTTAATATTTAATATATATATATATATATATAATATTATTTATTTTTATGTTTTTTATTCATTAAATAGTGAAATTATGTTAATAAAATAATATTATGAACTCATATTGACTATATAATTTAATATATATAAAATAAATATCATAATATTTATATTATAAATATAAGTATAGAATTATAATTAACTATATTTATAAAATGCAATAATTTTTTTATGATTTATATATTATAATAATTTATAATTTACACAATAAAACTTTTATTACAAAATATTTAATAAGCAAGCAATCAAAATTTTAAAATTAAAATAACTTTAATTAATATATTAGAAAATAAATAAATTATTAACTCAAAATGATTAATTTTATTTATAAGAAAGAGAAAAAAATTATTTAATTTAAACTTTGTAAAAACAAAAAATTCTATTTATGTCTATTATATAAATATCGACTATAATTAAATGATAATTAAATATTTATATTAATGGAATTTGTTACTACAGACAATAATTAAATTATTTTAATCATTAATAATTATATTATAATAAAACCATAAAAATAAGAACTTGAAAAAAACTAGTTTTTTAAAATAGCTACTATGAATAAATTATTCAAGATATAGAAAAAATAAAAAACAATCATAAAAATATAAAGATTGAATATTTTAAAGCCTTATATATTAAAAACAATAAATAATTGATAATTATTAATAACTAAAATTTAGAAATAGCAATATAATAAATATAAATAATAATTTAAAATATAATAAGCTATTTTTATTTTCTTATGAAAACCTATAAAATAATAATTTTTATTTTATTAGAGATAATTTAAAAGAGTTTTATTATAAATATAAATCTATATATAATTAGATATATAATAAATAATAATAATAAAAAAAAAAGAAATATTTTATGTATATATAACTTTAAAGTAAATTAAAATTAATATATATAATTAATATTTTTTATAATTTATTTTAAAAACTAAAATCTTATTTATAAAGTATTTTATTTAATTAAAATTAAAACTATATTTCTAAAAGTAAATGGAAAATGTATTTATTTAAATTCCAGAAATTTATCCAAAAATATTATCTTAATTTGAAATTATAAATCAAAACATTTTTGACTCTTTTTAAACATACTAAATAAAAACAAAAGAAAAATTTTATATATTAACTATTCGAGAAAACAATTTATAAAATTAAATATAAGAAGAAAACTTAACAAATTTATATTTAGATTTACAATATTCACCTTATTAGTACTTACATTAATTCCCTATTCTCACAAAATATAATGAATATACTTATAAAACATAAAAAAGTATAATTAGACTTATTTAAAATACCCCTAAAAGTCGGTTAACTTAAAATAACATTGAATTATTCGGATAAATAGGTGAAGTTCTTGGAAAACAGCAACTTATAATGCAAAAATATAAAAATAACTACATTTAAACTCGAGAAAATAATTCAACTTGGGATTTAAAAAATTTCCTTTAATTAAAATGCAAGACAAAAAATATAAAGGATATAGAAATACTTTTAATAGTGAACTTTTTTTTAGAAAAATATGAAGAAAAAGTTCAGCCTATTAAAAAGAATCTTCCTCATGAAATAATACATGGAGATTTTAATGAATATAATTTGCTTTTTTAACATGAAAGGCTATCAGGTATAATAGATTTTAATGACATGGTATTTTCTTGTCGTATTTTTGATATTGCAATATGTATTGCTTATTAAATATTAATAAATAATAATAATATACAAGAAACAATTGATAAAATAATTAAAGGCTATACAAAATACATTAATCTTTCGAAATAAGAAATGTTAATGCTTCCTTTTTTGATTGGGTGTAGATTAAGTACTACTTGTATTATTGCAGCAGAAAAAAAAGTACTTTTTCCAAATATTGCATATTTTTTTAATTCTTCTGAGAGAGCAGAAATTACAATAAAAAAATATTTTAGAATTATCCATGTCGTTTTTCCTGATTTTATTTAGGATTCTTAAAATTTATTTTTAGATTGTAGTGGTAATTTGAAGGTTTTTGGAAGTATTTCTAATCAAAATTAAAAAAAATATTTTGATATTTGGAAAAAGCATCTTCCGGATGAAATCGAAGAAGTATATTTTATCAAAAATAAGGATTGTTTGTATAAAATTATTGAAATTTTAGAAAAATAAAGAAAAAGTTTTTATATAGGTAATGAAAAAAATATTTAAAATTAAATCTATGTCGAATAAAATGAAAATTCCATTGTTTTTTTAAGTAATTTTATTATTCAAAATCAAGTTTTAAACTGGAATTTAATCGTAGATGGATATCTGCCTTTTTGTAATGATGAAATTCTTAAAGAGTTACTCATATTAACTAAATTAAGGTAAAATAACTTAATTATTTTTAACGAAACTTTTAGTGGGTTCGGTAGATTGGGAATAAATTATATTTTTTGGGGATTCTAAAGAATAAATTTTGTACCTGATATTGCTTTTTGGGAAGGAAATTGTGACTTTGGATGTGTTTTGTTTTGCAAAAAAGGGCTTTTGGATGATTTTAAAGAAATTATGGAAAACATTTAGGCTTCTTAGAATTAGATAATTTAAATTTGTGAATTTCTAGAGGTTTGGGAAGAATTTAATTTGAGTTCTAATATAAAATAATAAGGTGATTTATTTAATAGACTTATTTTAGAATAAAAATTAATATAAAAATGGGAAATTTAGGGATTATATTGGAGTTTAGAAATAGATACTTATTAAGATATATTTGTGTAAAAAATGAAAGAAAGATAAATTTTATGTATGTAAAATAATAAGAATTAAATAGATATTTTACCTCCTTTATTTATTTAGAAAACGGATGTAGAATATATATTTAATTAGATTTGTGATATTTTAAAATTTATAAATCAATGAAATTTGTTGTTGCTATATATTATTTTATATAAATTATAGATACAAAAATATTATAATTTATTTATTTTCTTTTACTAAAAACGATGTAATTAAAAATTTTAGAAATAAATATTCTTAAAATTAATTATTATATAAAAAGTATATTATATATTATTATTATATATATATATTTATATTTTGCAATTAAAAAATAAAAGTACTTTTTTAATCTAAAAACTCTTTTTATTTTTTCTAAATATTACTAATATACATAATATATAAAAATTTGTTAAAATAAAAAAACTATCTAATGAAAGATCTTTTTGATGATAATAATAAATATTATAGATAAAGTTAAGATTGTCCTTTAAAAATATGTTAGCCATTAGGATTATCTTTCTTATAAGAAAACAAAAGAAAAGGAGAAGATATAGTTGAATTAGATAAGAGAAAGTTCCAAAGAAAGAGAAATTCTAAACCAATAAGTGCAATATTGAAGGAAAAAGATAATCTATTAGAACAACTAACTTATAACAAAGTAAGTAACAGACAAGTAGATGATAAATTAATCGAAAAGTTATGCCAAGAAATTCCAAAATAATAAAAATAATAATAATTTTCAGATACAGAATACAAGAACTCATATGAAAATTTACGAAGAGATGAATTTAGAGAAGCTCGTGCAGAAATTTATGATAAAGTAAAAAAAAAAAAAAAAAAAAATTAAATAAAAAAAAAAGATTGAATTAGAATAATATTAAGACTTGAAAGCACTAAAATGTCAAAATTTATTGAATTTATCGAAAGGATTTATTAAAAAAGAAAATTAATTATCTTAATATTATCATGTCTTTGGAACTTTTGAACATATTTCATATTTAGAATACTTAAAAAGAATTTGTGAAGAATAATTATCGACTTCAATATTAAAGGTTTGGCTACCGGAATCAGAAAAGTTAAGAGGTTGGGAATATAATTAAAAATTTAAAAAGGATCTAGAGGTTTTTGTGGAGAAATTAGAAGAAATAAAAAGTGAAGAATTAAAGGAATTTATATAAAAAAGTGAAGATAAAATAAAAGAAACTGACAGTAATTACGAAGGTATTGAACTATATTTAGGTTTAAGAAGTGTTTCAGGAAAAAATGGTTATTTTGAATAAGAAAAGTAATGCTAAAAGAAACTTTTGATTGATTTATGTTTAATTTGTTAATTAGTAGATGAAGGAGGAAATTGTGTATTGAAATTTTATAATAGTTTTTAAAATAAAAGCCTTGTTTTACTGTTTATATTTTATAAAATATTCAAAACTACAGTGATGTGTAAACCAAGAACTTCTTCACTTTTATCTAATGAAAGGTTTTTAGTTTGTTAAGGATTAAAAAAAGATTTTGCGAGATAAATTGGAAAGATATTAGTGGATAAATTCGATATTTTATAAAAAGAAGATTTTTTGTGCTGTGAATTAAAACATATGACTTAAGATTAGAAATTTTGTGATAGTTTTATTGAAAAATTCATGAAAAATATGGTAAAAGTTTAAACTGAGTTTTTTGATTGTTTGGAAGTTTTGAGTGGGAATTATACAGAAGTGATTAAATAAGAACTAAAAAATGTTTTTTCGTAAATTTATTATAAAGATATTGTTTAAAGTATGAATGTTTCTGATAAAACTCTAAAAAAAGAACTTGGAATTAAAAAATAAGAATTAGATGAAGTTATTAAAGAGTTTGTTGAAGAAAATTAAAATGAAGAAAGAGTAACAAAATAAGAAGATGAAAATTAAGAAGATCACGATTAAATTTATTTTTCAGAAGGTAAAAATTCTCTTTTGGAAGGTTTGCAAAAAGTTAGAGATGAAAATGATGAAATAGAAAAAGTAGAATTAGAAAGAAGAAAAAAAGAAGGAGAAAAGAAAAATGAAGTCGTAATTAATCAAATAATTAAAAGAGACCTTAATTAAGTTTAAGAAGATCTTAGTAATATTTAAATTATTAGATATCAAACAATTAAGAAAAGAAAATGATTTTTTTTTTTTTTTTCATTATATATTAATTTTTTCGATTTTTTTTTATGTATCTTAATAATCTTTCATAAATTTTTATAATTCTTCATTGCTTTTTTTATTTTTTTCTTCTAGGTTCTTCATTATATCCTTATATTAAACACTATTATTATAAAATTAATTTGTAATAGTAAAAAATAAAAATACTTCATAAATTCTTCTTTTGCATATTATATTGCTTCATTTAATTTATCAAATCCTGTTCCTTTTATAGAACTAACAGCAACAACCTTAAAATGTATATATATTTTTTTTTTTCAATTAATTTAAAAAAATATAATTGTACCTTTAATTAATTATAAAATTCATCTAAACTAAGAACCATAGATTTACTTAAAGTAGAAAGATAATTATCATAGTATTAAAATTCATCCTTTTTATTATAAAAAATAAAAATTTAAACTATAAATGTATACCATCAATGTTTAATAATCTTAAATCCATTAAAATATTTTATCTTTGTCAGACACATCTTCTTTATTAAGGACTAAAACCATTGGAAGTTTCATTTTATAGAAAATACTACAACAAAACATCATATTGCTCATAAAACTATTTGGGTTTTGACATCTTGCTAGATCAATAACATATAATAATACCTTTATTATAATATTAATTTATTTTGTTTTAAAAATGCATATAAATTAATTAATACTGTAGGCATAGAGTATTATAAAGCTTAAGTTATTATACTACCTGAAGCGCTCCAGGTAAAAACTTCTATTTATCCTGGGGTGTCTACAACTACATATTCAGATAAATTTGGTAAATTTTCAATGTTTTAAATTACTTTATCTATTTATGCGCAATATAAATTTAAAGCTGTCATAATTGCTCCATTAGGACCTAATTAATGTTCTTTCATTAATTTTTTATAGTCTATTGTTTATCTTATATCATTGTTTGGAGTATATGGTAGAAATTATACTGCTGGATCAAGATTTAATATATATGATGGATCACCTTTTTTGTATAAAAAGTTCTCTACTAATTTCTTTTTGTTTTTTAAAAAATTATAATTATTTTATATATTTTACTTAGACAAATGTTGTTTTTCCACTACCAGCCATACCTATTGTTAGTAAACAACATCTTTTTGTATTTATTTATGGTTATTCAGTATTCGCTTATGGCTATTCAGTATTTGCTTATGGTTATTAAGTATTTTACATTTATTTTATTTTTTAGATTAATATAAATTTATTTTTTATATATAATTTTTGTTTTCTAATAAAAATTATTTTTAATTAGATTTCTTAAAAATAAATTAAATATATTTTATGTTGTTTTTAGTTTATTTTTCTTATTTAGTAAATCAAAATATTTTTAGTAAAAATAATTCATTATTACTTATTAAATATTTTATATTTAAACTATTATTAAATAAGTTTTTATTTTATTATAACTAATTCTAAATTTATTAGATTATTTTTTATTAAAAAAAAATGTTTAATTGATATTGGTTAATATTCATATTTTTTAATTATTATTACGTTATTTTCTTTTATTGAATTTTACTCATAAATCATACATCATTAGTTTATTTATAACTAAAAATAGATTATTTTTTATACATTTTTATATAAAAAAATATATTGACTATATTTTTATAAAAATACTTATTTTAACTTTTTTTAATATAAAAACAATAATATGGGTTAAAAAAGGAGCTTAAATAAAAATCATATAACTAAAAAAAAAATAGTAATAGATTTTAGATGAAAAGTAAAAATGATTAAAATAAGAAATTTAATTTATATTTTATATATTTAAAATCTATAATAAAATAATTTTTTAAAAGTATTAATAAGATTATAAAAATATTGCTGCTTTAATGTTTTTATTTTATTTTATTTTTCTTAAAATATAGTTAAATAAAAAAAGGCTGTTATCTGTTTTATTGAACTTATTATTTTATTGAGTTTTTAAAAATAATTGCATTAAAAATAAAAAAACTTCAGAATATGTAATTTTTTTGTGTTTATAAAAAAATATTAAAAAATTCAAATAAAAATTAAATGCAAAATAATAGAAATTTAATGTAAGTTATTTATTAAACAAACTATAAAACAAATCGAAAATCTATCCGAATATACATAAACAAAACAAAAATAAATAAATTATATAAACAATAATTAAATTTATCTAAAATAAATTTATAAAAAAAAAAATAATATATATTATATTTACAAATAAGTAAATTTTTTTTATGATAAATACATATATATAAAATTAATTTATAATTTTTAATAAATTAAAATAATTTTTATCAATAAATAATTAATTTAACTTTTTCTTTTATTTTTTTATTATAAAATACATTCGTATTATGTATCACTTTTTTCAACCTTGTTTCTATGGCGAGTTGATATTTTTAAATGTAAAATATACTTTTCGAAAAATTAATTGACGATTTCAATAATAGAAAAACAAACAATCGAATAAAAGGTTTTATATAAATTAAAATTTAAATTTAGAAAGATAAAAGGCCAATTTTTTGAATTAAAAAGTCTTTATTGGTTTAAATAAAAAAAATATTGAAGCAATAAATATTTAAAAAGAAGAAAAAGTGGATTTAATAAAATGCCATTTGAAAAAACTGGAGATTATAAATTAATTTTTTAGTTAAATTTATAAAATTATTTTAATATTTTTTTTTTTAATTTAAACATTACGATTTTTTTTGTTATTAGTTTATAAGATATTTTAGTCTTTGTTAAACTAAAATCTAATTAAAGAGAATATTGCTTTTGAAATATAATTATTGAAAATACTGTTTTTATTTTTAAACGTTTTTAAAAAAGTTAAGTTTAATTAAAACATTTATTAATTACATTCAGTTTTAATAACTAAAAATTGAAATTTTAAATTAGTAAAAATAATAAAAAATTTTAAGTGATAAAAAATTAGATTAATAATAAAAACTGTATTTAATATTTATTTACAATTCATTATTAAATAATATATATAAATATTATAATTATAAAATATTTAAAGATAATTCTCTTAAAAAAATAAAATATTATTAAATATTTTTATCTTTTTTTTAAAAAAAAAAAAATATGAAAAATAATCAAAACAATTTTTCTTTATATTAAAGAATATATGTAAACTCAATATTCGAAAATTTAGATTCAAATAATGAAAAACATTTATAATTAAAAAAAGTTATGAATTAAATAAACGAGAAAGTATATATTGAAGAGCAAAAAATTATACAAATATTATAAGAAATAAATAAGAATATTAATTTAGAAAAAATAGTACTTTCAGAGCTTATTTAGTTATACTAAAGATTAAATTTAATTCCCGAGAATTTCGAGAAAAATTAAAGTGTGATTGCTTTTTTAGATAATTCAACAATATTTTATAATTGCAAGAATCTTTTAAAAGAATTAAAATATGAAGATCCGAATGAAGAAAGCAATAACATAATTTAACTTTGTAAATTAAAGTATGGGCTTAACTTGGAAATTAATTCAAGAATTTGTATTGATAATTATACTAATATGTAAAAAAAAGTCCATAGAAATTTATGGCTTTGGGTTTAGGATCAAAAAACTAAATCTAACTAAAAGGGACTTTTGGATATTTTAAATAATGAAAAAATAGATTAACTTTTGGAAAAAATTACTTTTAAAAAAAAAGTATTTACTAGTCCCTAAAGAAATAATTGTTTATAAATTTTAAATTTTTTTATTAAAGATAATTAATCGTTTCTTGATTATTTAAAATAAACCAACTAATATTTTAGGTAATTTTTAAATTTATTTTAATTTTATTTGATTTTTTTAAAAAAAGAGCTGCTTCTATTTGCATTTTTTATTTTGAATTTGAAAAAGCTTTTAATATTTTATAAGAAAGTAAAGAAGAAAACGAAGAATTAACATTTATAAGAAGTATTATCTTTGGTTTGAAAAAAGTTTAAGAAGAAATAAAGAAAGATGAGAAAATTAGAGTTCTTTTTGAGGAAAAAGAGGCAACTTTTGATGATCTTTAAGCTGAAGAGAAAATCACATATAAATAATTTTGGTTTTAGATTGGCTTTTTAGCGGAGTTTTTGGATAGTTTTTAATTTACTAATCCTTATTTTAAGGCTATCTAAGTTTTTTTATCTTTTAAAGAGAATGAAAATAAAATTCAAGAAATTTTAAATATTGAGGATTTAGAATATTTTGATAAATTAGGAATTGCAATAAGATTTTTGAATTAGAAAAATCTGAAGTAATATTTAAACGATATTATGGAAAAAAATGAAGGAATATTAGATTTTCTTGTACTTTTAGGAAAAAGCGATGAATAAGTTATAAATATAATGCAAAAATACGTAGATATAACTAGAGATATATAAACTGTAGGCCTTCTTTCTGCAATATTTATATTTCTAGGCTACGAAAATAAAGCTTAATTAGAATAATGGTATAGTAATTACAAAGGATTAATGGGAAGAATGTGTTTATTTGAAGAACGAAATGAACTGGATAAACAATATAGAGATTTATTAGAAAACTAACCTATATAAGAAAAATAATAAATTGATGAGTGTAAAATTTCTATAGCTTGTTCTTTTTGTAATGCATCGTTAGATTATTAAAAACAACTTAATAATATAGTTCAAAAACGTAATAGAAATTATGCAAAACTTTCCTAAGCTAAAAAACCGACTATTGATGTTTGTCCTTCTTGTTCAACTTTATTAACTGTTTGTAGTGTTTGTTTGCTAGGATGTGATGTTATTAATCCATATAATTAATTAGGAAATAATAAAAGGTAAATTAGTAATTAATGTTAAGTTGAATTACTTAAGATTGATGATGGAATTGTTTGGTGTTAATAATGTAACCATGGAGGACATTTTAAACATATTATTGAGTGGTTCTAAGATTATGATAAGTGTCCAGTTAGTAATTGCTTATGTAATTGCAATGAAATTTGATTTTTTAAAAATATATATTTATTATATGTACATTTTCTTCATTAAATAAAAATGGTATAATCAATTTTATTTTATTTAAATTCCTTTATTAATTTTAGTATGTCACGATTATTTAATTTTTTAGAATTACTATATTCTATTTATATACTTAATATAATTTTAAACATTAATTCACTATTTGTTGATTTTTATATATAAAGAAAGTTTTTTAAAAAAGCATATTTAATTGATAATTACTTTGTTTGAAGAAATAAATAGAGAGATGTTAATAATTTTTGTTTTGTTTTTAGATATATATTATTATTATTGTATTTATTTTAATATAATTATAAATATATATATAATTATTATTATAATTATTGATTTATTTGTTTTTTATTTTTTCACAATCTTAATTGTTAATTAAACCTTTTTTTATAAAAAAATTGTTAAAAATTAACTTTTATATGTTTTTATTTTACTCTGGATCTCTTTTTAATACTCTCTACGCTTTTTATAATACTTCCATAGTTTATCTTATATTTTCTCTCTCTTCAGCAATATTAGAAGGCTTAAATTTAAATTTAAAAAAAAATTAAAAATTATATATAAATTACTTCCTATATTGAACTTAAAGAACTTTCATTTCTCATAATTTCATTATATATTTAGAATTATAATTATTCTTGAGCAGCTTTAACTAAGAAAAATCCAATTGCTTTAGGAATAGAATCTCTAACATTTCTAATTATAATATTATAATAAACATCAATTCTTGATCTTAATTCGTTAATAAATGTTTTTTCTGAATCAATTTAAGTCTATATTTCTCTATTTTATTATTAATTAGGGTTATTATTATTAACTTATGTCTATTTATTTGATTATATAAAGTCAAAAAAAGAGAATTTTATACCTATACTAATTTGGTTTTATGTCCTAAATAACCCATATCACTTGTGAATAAATAACCTTGTTCAGATTCTATAATAGAAATTACAACTTCCCTTGATTTATCCCTTTACTGAAAAATAAATAAATTAATAAATTATTATATAAAAATTAAAGAAAATTTACCTGTTGTAAAACTTTGCTTGTAATTTCAGAAATTTCATCCATGACTGCAGGAAAACGAGAAAATATTTTTCTCAAAAGCTTTCCAGCTAATCCTTCTAAATAATTATAACATTAAGTTACACATTCTAATGCAGGATCTTTAAGTCTTTCTAATTAAGGATTAATTAAATACAAGAAAGCATCAATAGAAGGAAAACCGGGAATAGAATCACCTTAATGCAACTAAATAGCAATTTAAATATCTCTGTCAGTATAATTTTTAGTTGCTTAATAACCTTTTTAAATTTAATCTTCATATAATTCATTAAACTAAAAAATAAATAAAATAAAAGATAAGATAAGAAATAAATACCATCATCTTAATAACCGCTCCTGCAGATAATTCTTATTGAATATCAGTTCTTCTTTGATCATATTTTCCTTTAATTGAGTTTTTGAAATTTTCAGTAAAATCAGTGATCATGGTCCATATAAGTTACATTTTATCCTTTTATTCTACTGGTAAAGAAGGTCCCAAATCTCTTAATCTATCTTCACATTCCTTCAATTTATCTTTAATTTCATTTATTATTGTTGGCAAAAATCTTCTTATATGAATAAAGAGAACATTAGAAAGTTTTTAAGTCAAAGCCTTTGTTCCAAGATGTTTAGGATCCATTTTTTAATACACAGGATGTTCTTTGAAAAATTTATCTTCCTCTTCAATTGCTTTTTTGACTCTTTTTTTCTATTCAATATCTTATTAACTTCTATTTACGACTCCTACAAAACCTAATTTTAAAGGAATATCGATACCCAAAATCATTCTTTCGGCATTTGTTCCTTTATCCATTATATCTAACTTTGTTATTACACCAATTGTTCTGTTTCCGTCTGGATCTACTTATCTAGCTAATTAAAGACCATCTGAATTTGAAATATCTTAATTTCCTGGAATAACACATAGAATTATTGTACGCTCATCTTTTATATATGTCATAGCCATGTCTTTTGTTATTTATTCGATATTTTAGGGATGATCTGAATCTTTCAATGGAATTCTCGTTATTCCTGGTAAATCTATAATTGTTAAATCTAGTACATCGTTCGAATATACAGTCATAATAATTGGAATATTCACTATTCCTTTTTTCTTTCCAGCTACTTAGTCTGTATAAAGATCAATTTATTCTCGAACTTTATCAAAGTCATCAAATTTTTTGGTTTTGTCATTATCAAAAACGGCATAAGGTTTTATTTATCTCTCATCTTTTTAATATTTTTTTAATGATAAATATTTTTATATTATATTTTACTCTCTGGAACATGTACTAATCTTAATTCTAAAGGTCTTCTTGTTACAACACCCTTTTTTTGTTTAATTTATTTTGCTTATTTTATTTTATTATTTTTTTACAGATCCTCTAGGCAAAAAATCTAGTCCAACTACATTTTCTAACAATGATGATTTTCCGGATGATTACGATCCTACAACTGCTATTCTAGGAAGCTATATATATTACTAAAGACCACAATCTCTTAATTCATCGACAATATTAATTAATTTTCGCAAATTATCAAATAAAGAATCAGTTTTTAATTCTTTTTAATCAGCCATTAAATATTCTTAAATATTTTATTTTTATTTTGGATAGGGTTGTTTTTTTGAAAAATTATATATATTTATTTATATACTAATTTGTTTTATATTAAATTTTTTCCTATTGTATAATTTTTATTTTCTAAAATTTATTTAAATAAAATAATAAATAGAATTTTTTAATTATTAATAAAATTATATATTAAAAAAAAAAAAATTAATATATATTAACTTATATTTATAAAATAAAAATTTAAATAGATTGAATATAAAATTTATAAAAAAATATATATTGATATATATTCTAATATAATATTGATAATAATATTTAATAAATAAAATAATAATAATAATAATAATAATAATAATAATAATAATAATAATTTTAATATTAATAATAATAATTATATATTATATAAAAATTAAAAATATTTTTTCAAAATATTTATATTAATAATATCAATAATAATTTTTTTATCAATTAAAATTAATAAAAATATATTTGTAATTTATATTTTAATATTTTAATTCTAAGATTACTTATATTACTTTTTTTTATTCTTTTAATTTTTTATTTATCTTGATTTATTATCTATAATTTATTATCTTTATTTTCATTTTTTAATTTTTTTTTTTATTTTATTCTTTAATATATATAATTTTTAATTTAAATGTATATTTTATTTAATATTAATAATTTTTATTATTTTATCTTTTAAATATTTTTTTATATTTTTATATTAAAAATTTATTATTAATTTAATTTTTTAATTTTTTTCTTAATTATTTTAATATTAATTTATTTAAATTTCGAATGATTTACTTTTAATTTTTTTTTTTTATATTCATCTTAATTTTTTATTTTATTTTTTCATAGTTTTATTAATTAAATGCATTTTATATTTTTTAAATTTGAGCTAAATATTAAATTATTTACATAATAATTTTAATTTAATAATTTTTATATATTAGAATAGTTTTTTCATTAATATAATAAATAAAGTTTATTTATTAGCTAGATAAACTATGCTTTTTACTTTTTTTAAATGATTAAAATAATTTATATTAATAATATGTATTTTATTATTATGTAAATAATATTTTATTGATTTACATATTATTGTATATATGTATTTATATAAACTATTATATTTTTTAATTTCATAAGTTTTTCTAAATTTAAATAAATTAATTATTTTTATTTTAAAAATAAATCTTATAAAATTTATAATAAATTCATTATTATAAATTTTGAAAGATATAATAAGTTTCTTAATAAATTAAATTTTTAATACGAATAATTATAAACGCATAAAATATTAGTATTTATTAATAGGTTCTATTTAAATAAAATTATTAATTTTAGATTATATCGCATACCATAATTTAAAAAACTATACATTTTTACAGATAAGTATTTTGTTTTTATATAGAAAAATACATATTCAATACATATTTCATAATTTATATTAATTTGTATTTAATGAAACTTCGTCATCCATTTCGTTTAAAAATTCAAATTTACCAAATTATTCCTATTCCTTAATAAGGTTAAGTTCCTCATCATTAATTTCTACACTTAAATCATCTATCTTTTCTTCATCTTTTTTTGAATTAATGTGCTTTTTATATGCATTCCATAATTCGAAAATCTTTGCATTATTTTATTGGTCTTTAAGATTTTTTTCTTTATCAACATAAATATCAGTAACTTCAGAAAATTAATTTTATGTCAATTATTTTAAACTACCATAACAATGATTACACTAAATTTTATGATTCTAAAATTGGAAAATAAATAAATATAAATAAATAAATAAATAAATAAATAAATAAATAAATAAATAAATAAATAAATAAATAAATAAATAAATAAATAAATAAATACATTTATAAAAAATTCTCCTTTTCCAACAATTTCAACTAATTCCATACTTTCTTACAAAGAATTTAGCTTGATAATAAGGAAATATTTAGTAATAACATCATCTTAAATACTTTCATCTTATAAAATTTTGATATTTTTTTTTCCTTTTTATTTTAAAAAAACATTTATTTTATTGACAAAGTTTTCAACACTAGTTCCCCAAGGAATATTATTTATTAAAACCGAATGTTTATAATCTGCATCATCAAAATACATAGTTTCCATCATATTATAAACCCCAAAAACTCTTACATCAGGTAATAAACATTTATTTTTATCCTCGTTTTTTTTAAACTTTATCATTGCGTATGATCTGTTTAATTTTTTATTGTTCACTACTTCAATATTTTTTAGTATTTTTTATGTTTTAAGTAGCATTTTATTTAGTTTATCTTCATTTATTTCATTACTATTTTCAATTTTTTCTTCTTCTTTTTTAATTTTTTTTCCTTTTAAATTTTTCATATACTCTTCTACTTCTTCGAAAAGTTAATTGGGATCTTTTTCTTCTTGTTACTTTAACTCGAAGAAGTCGCTATAATTATAAAACTTTATTTCTTCGATTTCTCCGAATGTTTTTTTTATAAATTCTAAAATAGATTGAGTGTATAAAGGCGTTTCGTAAATGTTATATCTGAGATTATATACATAAACCCAATTTGATTTCTAAGAAAAATCATTTTTTTCAGATTATTCTTATTAAAGTTTGACTATCTCTTAACTAATTTTTTAGTTTCGGTTGTTTCTACCATATTTATTTATTTATTGAGTTTTTTCTTCATTTAATTTTTACATTTTGAGGTTTTCTAAAAAGTTTTTTTCCTCTTCAAGATTTAAAAAAAAATCTAATTCATGATTTTTCTACACAATAACATCTTATTATGTATCATCTATCAAGTTATGCTCTTATGATTCCAAAAATTTGAGGTCTTTTTAATAAATTTTTTATTAAAAAGTTTTTGAAGGATCCAAAACAAAATTTTCTTAAGGAAAATCATCGTCTTATAAAAATTTATCTTCTTGGAAAAGAAAAGAATGTAAGGAAAGATCAAATTAATCATTTTTTTAAATCAATTAATTTTTATGATGAAACAAAATATTTTTTTTATTAAATTCAAATTACGTTATTTTCTCAAATTATAGTTAAATTTGGGAATCTTATTAAGTTTTTTAATACTTTTCTTCAAGTTCATTTAATAAAAAAGTTGTTTTAGGCAGATTAGATTCTTTGAAAACATCAAATTAAGCTATTTTATTTTTAACTTCTTAGTTTTGTTCATAGTCTTTAACAGAATTAGTAAAAAGATTTATATTCAAATCTGTAATATCTATTTTTATAAATTACTCGAGTATTTTAGAATGTTCTTCTTTCAGAATTTTCTATATTTATCTTAGTAAATATTCCTCGTGATGTTTTTTTAATTAAGGTGTTTTTGATGATAGCATTTTCTGTTTAAAATAATCTACTATAAACATTAATTTTTATATATTATCGAATGGTAATGTTTGGATGCAACTTAATACAAATTTTTATAAGTCTTATTATCTTTAAATTAAATTTTCTGATAAATTAAATTAAGTGTATTTTGTCAATTGTTTTTATACTTGAATGCTTTTTTCTTCTTTTTTCGGTTTTTTTTATTCGGATTTCTCTAATATTTTCTCAAACTCTTCTGAAAAATCGCTTAATTCATCTTCGTTTTCTAGTTCTACCTATTATATTGTGCCTTCATAGGGAAATTCGAAATCTTCTTCCCATTCTTCATCTTCTTAATCAAGATTTATTTTATCTACTTGGATATTTAGATTTGATTTTTTGTTTTAGTTTGAAAAATATTAGTAAGGAATATATCTTTGTTAGAATTTTTAAAATAAAAATTAATTTTTGTAAGATATTTGTTTTAATATATATTTGAACATTTTTTATTAATTTTCTTTTTTTATTATTTGATATTTTTTTTTTTATTTTTATTCTTTTTTTATTTTTTTTAAGTTTTATATATTTTTTTAACAAAGAAAAAATATATTTTATTATTAAAAAATAATTATTAAGATTTGTATTAAAAAAAAATGTTTTCCTTCTAAAATATGTTTATGCAACAAAACCCAAATAAACCACTGCCTGATACATAAGAAAAGTTATATATATCCGCATTAGCATTAATAAAGATGTTAAAAGTAAAAAAAGAAAAAAAAAAAAATTAAAAAAAATCAAAAAAAGCATTGTCGTGCTGGTGTTCCACTAGAAGTAATGGGACTAATGTTAGGATAAATAGTAGATGATTATAAAATTAATGTAGTAGATGTATTTGCAATGCCCTAAAGTGGTACAAGTGTTAGTGTAGAATCAGTAGATCCAATATTTTAATAATAAATGTTAGAATTATTACAATAAACCGAAAGAACGGAAATGGTAGTTGGATGGTACCATTCTCATCCTGGCTTTGGTTGTTGGTTATCGAATGTAGATTAGAATACGTAGCATAGGTAATTATTTGCAGATCCGGATATATTTTTATTTATTTTATTTATTTAAAAATTAGTTTTGAGCAACTTAATCCTAAAGCAGTTGCTTTGGTTATTGATCCTATTTAAAGTGTTCGTGGAAAAGTAGTTATTGATGCTTTTAGGTTATGTAATCCTTTAGATGTATCAGTAGGTTAAGAATATAGATAAACTACAGGAAATGAAGGGCATTTAAATAAACCAGGGTTAGAAGCAACTTTAAGAGGTTTAGGTTTATAATATTATTCGATTAACATTTGCTTTAAAACTAATGATTTGGAAAATAAAATGCTAAACGATTTATATAAAAAAAAATGGGTTCATTGTCTTGAAAATTAATAAATATGTAAATGTAGTGAAAAAAATGTTATCGATATGTAAAACATGGCTAATTTTGCGAAAATGTATCACAAAAGAATTTCCGAAGAAATTAATTGTAATAATAAGAAATAACTATCGATTAAAAATACTGGAAAAATTGATCCAAAAAAACATTTGATAGATCTTTCAGATGAAATGTCAGAAAATAATTGCTATTAGATTCTTACTAATATGGCTAATATATAATCATTTTGATTTTTTTTTTTTTTTTTTTGAAAAATATTAATTGTATATCAGCTTTTTAAATTAATAATTAAAAAAAAAAATAATCCTTTTGATTATTTAAGATTTAATATATATTGTTTTTGTTTTAATTTAATCTATTATAGATTATTTTTTTTTTTTTAAAAAAAAAAAAATAGTTAAAAATAAAATAATTTTTTAAATTATAATATTTTAGAAGCAAATACATTTTTATATTTACTAATATGTTTTTATTTTAAATAAGTTTTAATCTTTATTAAATAAACACAATAAAACAACAAAAACTTCTAGAAATAAATTTTTTAATCAAATTCACAATTTAAGGAAAATAATTTATTAGAAAATATAAAAGTATATTTCCTACTATGGAATTTATTATAAAATATAATTCTTTTATATAAAAAAAAATAATTATTTGAAATTTGGATTATGTCTAATGGGAAAGAATTTTAATTTATCTAAAAATTATTTTAAAAAATAATTTATAAATATATATATATACTTAACCATTATTATTATAGATATATATTTATTATAATGCTTATATGAAAGCTAATTTATATAACTATAAAAATTAAATAAAAAGGACATTAATTTATATATTAAAAATGGAAAAAATTAAAGTTTAAAAAGTAATTTGAGATAAGAATTGATTTAATGAACGAATTTAGCAAATAAGAAAAATATCAATTATAAAAATTTAAAAAACTTATTTATTAAGAAGAAATAAAATTGAAGTGTAAATTCTTATTTTAAAAAAATAACTAAGATTTTTGTTGTTGTCTTGTCATAAATTTTGTTTTAATTTTTTTAAAAATAAATTAAAATTAAAGCATATGTTTTAATATTATCAATTATATTAAAATTGCTTTATATCTTTATAATTAGTGAAATTCTTAATTATTTTAGAAAAAATATATATTGAAAATATTATATATTTTTTTATATCTTTTTATAATAAATTTTAAAATGAAATAAGTATTATGATTATTTAATGTTGTTTTTAAAAATATGATGAATAATATGATTAATCATTTATTGGAGAATGCTAAAAGTCAAATATTAAAATGAAAAAAATTTCAAACTAAAATAAATTGGAATATAATAATAAGAAATTAAAATAGTATTTATATTAAATAAAATTTATATAAAATCTAATATATATTTATAATAAATCTAAAGATATGTTTTATTCGATAAACAATATTCCCTAATCGTTTTTATTTAATTATTTTTTTCTTATTACTATAACATGTAATAAAACTTTTTTTTTTCTGAATATTAATTAGCCATGGATAGTTTATAGAATAAATCTAGAAAAAAACATTGTTAATGTAATGACGTCTTGATTTTATTTAAATTATAAGTAATATAAATTATATATTAAAAAGTATTTATTTTTTATTATCTTTTAAAATTATTTGAATCTAATTTATTTTATTTATAAATTGTAAAATAAAAAAATAAATTTATGTATATTTATATTTAAAATTAAATATATAATAAGTTCTATTTTATTTTTTTCTTTAAATTTTATAAAGAAATATATATTTATTATTTAAAGAATTTATTTTAATTTTTTTATTTATTATATATTAAAAAAATATCATATATTTAAATTTGAATAATGATAAATATATATTTTTATTCATACGAACAACTCTTATTTAGAGAAATTTCTAATTTTGTTAGTTGTTTTGGTATTTTATTGTAATTTTTAATCATTATTTATCTAATTTATACCAAATTAATTATTTAAATAAAAGTTGTTATTATTTTAATTTTATATGGCTGAAATATTACTTGCATTAAATTTTTCACTCTAAACAGTATCAAAATCATCTGAAATAAAAGTATTTTCTATTACATTAGGGTCTAAAACATTTTTCGTTCTTTACTTTTTATTTCCTTATTCTAATAAATTAAATTCTTTATTATGTTATATATATTAATTAGTAGTATTTTTTACAGGAGCTTAGTCATTAATATTTCTATTTTACTTATTATCATCGACTAAATTTCCTTTTAAATTCAATTATTACTTTTTAATTTATTATTAATTATCTTGTAAAGTATTATTATTATTTTATTATTTTTACTAAAATTTATTATTTTATTATAAATTAAGTTAATTTTATTGTAAAATCTATTCTTGTTGCTCTTATTTCTTTTTATAATTTTATTCAAGTAAAACATCTTCATCAGAATCATTTTTTTAATCTGAATAATTAAGAGCCTTTAAATTTAAATTTTTATTGTTTTATTATTAAGAATATTAAGTAAGTTTTTCAATAAGTGCATTTTTATTTTCTAAATCTTATTAGATAATGCTTATGGCATTATTCAAATAATCATTATTTTATTCTAACATTTAATTTTTATTTTTCAATTTTTCAATTTCATGTACATAATCATTATATATTTTGGCATTTAACTCTTCTAATTAATTGACTAAACAATGGTTTGCTTATTTTAACATAATTTCTATTTCTTAATATTAAGCTTTGTATTATTAATTTTAATATTCTAAATATTTCGATTAATCTTACAAGATATCTATTTCATTTTTTTACTACATGATTTGTTATTCTAATAGTTTTCTTTTTGTTTCTTCTAAAATTAATTCTTTTTTGTGTTTTTCATCTTTTTCATAAAATTCATTTATTGACTATAAAAGTTTTTATTTCAATTATTAATTTTCTTTTAAAAACTAATATGCTTAAATATCTATTATTTATAAATTGTCTATTTATTATTCTTTCTAATTTGAATTAATATTATTTTTTTGAACTTAATTTTATTCTTCATTAAAATATAGGGGACTTTATCTTTCTACAATTTATTAATTTTTATTAGCATTTTCATTTACAGATTAACTCAAATTATTATCAAATTTATTATTATAATAGTTTTCGTTTAAATTAGAAGAGTAATTTTACTTTTTATAATTAAAAAAAAAAATTAAATATAAAAGTGTATTTTTAATTTTTTTATTACATATACATGTTCCTCATTATTTTATTTATATTATATCTAGTTTTCATTTTAAATATTATTTTACTATTTTTATATTTATTAAAATGTTTATTCTTAAGTTTCTTAATTATTTTTTTAATTCTATATTTTTATATTATATTCGTCGTTATTATTATTATGTTAAAAGTCATCATTAAAGTTATATTATTATTGTTAGATTTATGATTATAAATCCTAACTTATTTTTTTATTATTTTAATTTTAGTTATTAGCTTCTTCTTAATTATTTATTGTATATATAATTTATTCTTCAATATTATTATTTTGTTTATCTATTTAAAAGTCTAAATTTATTTATAATTATTGTTTTTATTGACATTGATTCTAATCTATATTTTGTTGATAATTACTGTCACATTACTATTCATATACATTTATATTTTGCTATTTTTCCTAATTATAATTACTCTATTCAACTTAATATTGATTACCTTATTAATTTAAATTATAATTTTAAGTGTTTTTGTTTTCATAATTTTAGTATTCTTATTATTAATTAATATCCTCTTATTATTCTTGTTATTATTATTAAATTTAATCCTAATTATATTATTATTCTTTTTCTTCTAATTCTTCTTCGAACTCATATTCATATTCAAATTCATCTTATTCTTGCTCAGAATTTTAAGGTTAATTTAAATATTATTGCTGTGCTCTTTTTATTTCTTCTATTTATGTCTTAATTAAATCAAGATTTTCATCTTTTTTATATTAATAATTTTATTCAATTTTATTTGTAATTAAGGTATTAATATCTTAATTATTTTGCGATAAATTTTAAATATTTAATTATTTTTATTAAATTTCATTGTTTTATTGACTTTATTATTCAATTTACTTATAATTTATTTATTATTAGACTTGAATTAGTTTATAATTGTCCTATAAATTTATTTTTTAACAAAAATATTATAAATTTTTCAGTTTTATTGAAAATATAATTTTATTTTTAAGAAAAAATTACTTCTTCCTCCTTATAATTAACTTGAGATAGACTATTTTTTAAATTTTCTTGCTATTTTTCACTTACAGTGTGAATATCTGGATGCTCTTCATTAAATTAATTTTTATTTTAATTATCTTATTTAGAAATAGGTGGATTTTCGTTAAGATTTAATTATTAATCATTTTAAATATTATTTGCTTATCTTTGAATATCTGTATGAGTAGTTGGATATTTAAATTTATTATCTAAAGGATTTTTTCTAGGTTAGTTTTATATTTAAGTCGATCTGAATTTTTATTATTAGCTTATTTAAAAGTTTTCAGAAGTTTGTTAATAATTAAAGTTTTATATTTAATCTATTAATTAATAGAAATAATCTAGTGTATATTTATCATTAGGTAAATTTACAAAGGATTCAGGCGATATTTTCTCTTGTAATAAAGCTAAACGGAAAGGAGAATTTCGGGATCCTTTTAATTTCATTTTAAGAAAATTTACTTTTTCTCGAAATTCTTTTGTCTAAGGGTTTTAATATATCTTTATTAGTTATTAAACTATTTCATCAGATATAGTTTCACATTTTTATAATTCAATTTCTTTTTACTCTTTTAAACTGTCTACAAACACTTTTTTTATAAAATCTAATTTTTTTAAATCTGTATTCATTATTTTAATTTATTATTATTTTATGTATCTAAATAAAAATAATAATTATAATAATAATAATAATATTAAGTTATTGTAATTGATATTTCATAAATTTATTTTATTTGCTTAAATAAAAAAACACATAAATTAATTTATATAAAAAAAATATAAACATTAAATTTATAATTATAGAATAAATTATTAAAATTTTTGATATTAAATATATAAAAGGGAATAATAAAAAATAAAAATTAAATATTAATAAAAAATATAAAATATATAAAAAAAATATAAAATAAAAATAATAATAATAATAATAATAATAATAATAATATAAATAATTATATAAAATATAATTATA